GTGCCATCATAGCCAGCTGTGAGCATCTTTTCACGGGTCTTCTCCCAAACTGGGATCTGAGTCATGAACCACGGCTTGGCAAAGGTCTGTTGATGAAGGGCCAGATGGCAACTCTTTGGGGCTCTGAAAGCCACACTCACTCGGTTTCTGTCACATATTCTGTTTACTTTGAATTTTACAACTCTTAGAAAACCCATAGGGCCATTTTTCTGGGGTGGAGGGGGGTGTCATTGTGTACAAACAGCCAAGGCTGGGTTTGAACACAAGCTGCATGTTGCCAGTCCCACACTAAGTCATGTGTTATGACACCAGTCATGTGCCCAGTCACGAGACAGCTCCAGGACCCCTGCCCCTTCTTCCCCTACTCAGGTCAAGGACTCCAGTGGCTCATGAGGCACACACTGGACATGAGCCACTCATGACTTCTGGCAAGGCAGGCTCAGTGGGAAGACTGTGTTGCCTCCAGAGAGCTGGGATTCTCGAAGTGGCCCCATCTTAGCACCATGACTCATTGCCTGCTGAGCTCATCAGAGTTCCTGGGATGATGCTAACATGTCACCTGGGGTGTGGCTAAGGACCTGGAACCCTGGATATTCTGCCCTACCCAGCCCCTCTCATGTGTCTCACCCGCTAGTCACTGACGTCTAGCCTGTGGGTTTATTCCTGGCTCTGACCTGCCACCATGCATCCTTGACACCTTCAGTGTCTCTTGGCTAACCCATCTCGCCTGTCCCCTTGACACCACTGGTCCTGAGGGACATGATAGAAAGGGTGAGACCTTTAGAGGCTCTACAGCCAGTTTTGACTCGTGTGCCAGTTTGGTTCTTCATGGCTACCTGGCTTTAGACTTGTTACTCTTCCCCCCTGGCTGAATCAGGATTCCAACAGCCCCGCCCGCAGCAGATGCTACGGCCATTCTGTCCCACTCTCAGTACCATCTGCTTATGCAGGCTGCCCATCATGGGCACCCTGGGGTAGTGTCCTGGATGCTTACGGCCTTGAGAACATCTCGGCTTGGGCAGACAGAAGTGTTAGAGTAAAGGGAGCCTGCAGGCCTATGGTCCTGTGCTCCAGCTGAGTCTGCCTGTGTCTGAGAGCCCAAAGTAGGACTTTCTGCTGCCCACAGAGATGGCATTGTCTGGTTTCCATATCATCATGGTAGAAGGTGCCCACCCCACCCCCACCACCCCACAAGGTCCTTAAAGTTTGGGGTTTTTAATTTTTTTTTTCTTTAATGTAGAGATAAGCATGATTTCCATGATTTCACTGGGTAAATCGACGATCTGAAATAATTTATTTAAGGTCACTTAGCGAAGCCTGTGTCCTTTGCGTGGGAACACGGCTGCCTCTTGTTCCACCCATATTTCCAGATCGGACTGTGGCCGTTAGCACAGATGAAGCAAGCATGAGAACCCTGGCCAGACTTCCCCCACGACTCCAGTGGAGCCGCTGGAGAGCCATCTTGCCGTCAGGTTGCCAACGAGGAGAAAGGTCTCCCCGTCTCTTTCTCACTCTCCATCATTTCCTTTCATCGATCTGCCAATCAGAAGTTCTTTGAACTCAGTCCCGTGGCTGAGAGGCTGCTCGCAGGGCGGTCTAACCTTTGGCTAAGACTCCAGCTCCTTAGGGCTTTACAACAGTGCTTATCAGAACCTAGCTAACAATGTGCCTGTTCCTATCTGATGTTAAGTGAATGTTAAGCCCTTGTCCCAGCCTTGGCATCGTGTCTGAACACTGTCTCCAAAGCAGGTATCCTGCTTATACAATAGTCATCCCTCAGCAACAAGCGGGGGACCATCAGTCAGTACCAAGACCGGGTCACTGAAGGCAAGGGATTGGTCTCTGAAGCTAATTTACTCAGGCACTGAAGATGGTTCCTGCTTGCCTCTAACTCCCTTCCTGTCTCAGTGGTGGTGGTTCTCAGCCTTCCTAATGTTGTACCCCCCTTTAATCCCAGTTCTCATGTTGTGGTGACCCCGAAACCCCCCCCATCGTAGAATTATTTGGTTGCTACTTCCTAGTTGTAATTTTGCTACTACCGTGAATCATCCTGTAATGTAGGATGAGCAGGATATCTAATATATGATCGTCTGTGAGAGGGTTGTTTGACTCCCAAGGGGGTCGCGACCCACAGGTTGAGAATCAATAATGCACTATGGCGGCTAATTCTTAAGAACTGTCATGGCCGCCCACCTAGAAGGCTGGTTATGTTTTGTAGAGTTCTTGTTTGAAATAGCATCTCTTGTTGGAGCCCATGATGGCTTTGAGTATGTGTGTGTGTGCGCGCGCGTGTGCGTGCATGCGTGCTTGTGGTGCGTGCGTGCTTGCGTGCTTGCGTGCATGTGTGTAATGGAGTGAGTGTCAGAGTTTGGTGTCTCTCTTAGTTACTTTCCTTGTGTTTGAGGTGGGATCTCTCCCTGTGGCTGGAGCTCACTGATTCAGCTAAGACTAGCTGGCCAGCGAGCCACAAGGATCTTCCTGTCTCCACTTCCCCAGTGCTGGGATCGTAGGCACATACACTTAGCTTTTCTACGTGGGTGCTGGGGATTTGAACTCGGGTCTTCAAGCTTGCCCTGCAGGCATTTTCCTGGCTGAGCCACCTCATGGCCATGGTCTCTGGCGTCCAGATGAGTATCCGATTGCAGGCATGTGCCACTACAGCCATGTTTGCAGAGTTTACATGAGGGGTAGCCAGGACTATGTATGTCACATTAATGAGGGCTATTTCTGGATTATAGGATTTTCGAGGTGTTTTTTTTTCTCTCCTCCTCTTTATGCTTTTCGGTATGGTTTCAATTTTCTTTAAAATGAGTGCCTATCATCTTTATAGAAATAAGTAATTCTTTCAAACATAATAGCTTGCAGCTGGCCACCAAAACGGTTCCACATTGGGAGCTTGCACTGTGCACAAGTAGAGTCTGCTGTGGGATTGCTCTGAGGATGGATTGCCCTGGTGATCCTCACTGTGGTGAAAGAAAAAAAGAAAAAAAAAAAAGATCTTTTGACAAGGACATGGTTCTCTAGTACACATTGAAATCCGTGAGACCAGAGCTCAGGGGAAGGTCAGTCACCAGCAGCCAGAAAGGCACTAGTGATGGGTTCAGTGCAGCCTGTTTGTATCAGGGTGTATTTTGTCATTAAAGTAATAAAGTTAGGGACACACTCCTGAACACCCTCTTCATCATCAGCATAACCAATTTAATTGTCACGGGAGGTGCTCAGCCTCAGCAGAACCTGCCATGATTCTTTTGTTCTCAGAATATGCAAATCTGAACTGGATCTGGTTTTCTCTTCCTCCCCCTGCGAGGTAGCCAGTGTCAGCCTCAAAGGATCAAGGAACTCTGTGGAGAACAGAGGCTCCAGCACAAAGCCATGAGGTCAAGGGGGGGGGGGGGAGAAGAAGAGGGAGAGGGAGAGGGAGGGAGGCGTGGGGGTGGGGGAACTAGAGTAAAGACAGGAGAAGAACCAGATGAGAGGGAAGAATTTAAAAACACCACCAGAAGCTGGGTGTGCTGGCACTCACCTGTAATCCCAGCACTTGAGAGGTGGAGGCACATGGGACTGCACACCACCCTGGGTTGTTTGACCCCCTACCTCAACAAAACAGAAAAACATCTTATAGATATAGAGTTTTATACATGCAGGCCGCCACAGGGAATCGGCCACAAGCAGCTCGCTCGCACCAGGAAAGCAGGGACTGTGTGATACGGGATGGGTGTGCTGTTTGTGTCCAAAGAGACAAATTACGTGCCAGAGCTTCGTTCACGTTGGCTCCGCTCTCTGGGCTGTGATTTTTGGTGTGACCTCATAGAGGAAATGAACTGTGTGGACCCAAGATTGACATGGGTCCTGCTGAGCCTGGAACGAATCTCTCTGCCCAGAGACGTGGGACCTAGGGCTCTAAAAGTCAAATGATTTCTTAAAGGAGTCATTCTTACCCTGGTTCCATCCCTATACATTTGGGTTGGGATATGCCCTCTAAATATTTCCAGGTCATAAGATTGTTGAATAATTCTTAATTCAGAAATGGCCCAGGAAGACCCTAGTGGCCTTCAGGTTGAGCCTGGGTTATCAGTGAGGGCCCCTTCCTTTCTCTTTTCCCCTCTCCTCCTTCAGTGTTTGGCTCAGAGGTCATGGTATGTCAGCCCTCCCCCCATCCCCCCCCTCACACACACCCCACCCCCCGCTGGCGGCTGGTGTGGGGTGCTGTGACTCTAAGATTAGGCTCTCCTGGAGGAGCAAGGAGTTTAGCATTAAGTGCTGAAGCTCATTCTGTTGTCCCAGCAAGCGGAGCGGCACAGGGCCAAGCAGGCAGCCACAGAGACAGAGATGGGAGGGGAACGCTTGGCTTGGACCGCCGCCCTCCATGGCCTCTGTTTCCATGATGTCAGAGAGGCGGAACTAAGGGTGCCTCAAATCCAGGAGGCCACAGCCCTGCCCTCCATTCGGGTTTGGAGGCAGCATTGAGCGGAGGTGAGCGTGCCTCTGTTTTCTTCGCCCGGTTTCCTCCAGCCATCCTGGACTTGATCCCCACCTGGCTGCAGCTGAGCCTTCATCCTGACCATCCACCTCTTTGTCTGAATGCCACTTGCCAAGAGAGCTCATAGGATCTGCCTAGGCAGAACCTTGGCTCATTGAAAGCCTTCTGTGGGCCGGGAACATTCCCATTCTTAACCGTGCTTGGTGACTTGGGGACTGAGTTTGGCAAGGGACTCCCGCGTAAAGACCAATTTCCTAATTCCTTTTTATGTGTCATTGGGAACAGGGTGGGAAACTGCCGTTCCGGGCGTTCGGAGCCTGCCTGTCTGCAGACGCACCCTTGACCTTGGATGGAGTCTGTTTCTTTCTTCATGCATCCATTTCCTTTTGGGGAAAATTCAGGCCAGGTTGACAACTTCCCAGGGCCTTTTCACCCCAGCCAGAGAAGTTCTTTAGTCATCTTGAGTGGTTTGCTAAATCAGTGATGTATTCCCGTCTCTCCCCCCCTTCTCTCCACCCAGAAAAAGATTTACAAATACAAGAAAGTCCTGAGTAACCCGAGCCGCTGGGAGGTTGTCTTGAAGGAGATACGGACGCTGGTGGACATGGCTCTAACGTCCCCGCTGCAGGATGATTCTATCAACCAGGCCCCACTGGAAATCGTCTCAAAACTGCTCTCGGAGGTAAGATGCTCCCCCCGGCTGGATGAGGCCCTCCTTTCCTCTAGGTGCTCTGTTTTTACCTCTGTCTTGTACTTAGCCCCCGTCTGAATGAGCAAGAGAGATCAACCCGAGGTATGTCATCCTGCAATGGGTGCTAAGGAAGACAGTGTTTCTCACCAAACCATCGAGGGCATTGAGACTGGGGCTTGCCAGTTCTAGTTGCCTCCAACTTGTCTGGAGGCGTAGGGGACTGTCACCTCTGCTAAACCCTAAGGCAAACCCAAGTTTTGGATAGTGGCTCTGATAGCAGCCACTGTAGCTCCCAGGGTCAAGTGCCAACTCTGTGGACCTCTCAAGCCCCAAAGCAGTGGGTCTCACCTGTCTTGATGCTTCAACCCTTTAATACAGTCCCTCATGTATGGTAACACCCCCCCACACACACACACACACAAATCCCCTCAGCCATTAAGTTTTTTTTTTTTTGTTGCTACTTCTTAACTGTAGTTTTACCACTGTATCGAATCACAATATAAATTGTGTTTTCCAGCAGTCTTAGGTGACCCCCGTGAAAGGGTTGTTTGGTGACCTCCCCCAGGGGTCAAGACCCACAGGTTGAGAACCCCTGCCCTAGCTGAAACCTTCTGTTCTGCTTTGTCCTGCTGGGGCAGCATTTCATTCTGGTTTTGTTCAGTCCTTGTCATCTTTCTGTCCCAAGTACCCTTAGCTGTCCACCTGTAGGTATTGTTTACCTTGCTTGAGGTTTAACAACCAGACTTCGTGTGCGTGATACAGGTGGCGGCAGGAAATTGTCACACATATAAGAAATTGCCAAACAATAGAACAAGGCAAAAAGGTTTTTGTTTTTGTTTTTTTTTTTAAAGTGCTTGGACTTCAGCACAATGGCCATTTCCAGGTTCTCTTTAAAGATGGAAAAATCTGGCTACGTTGGGCAGCTACTGTTACTAAGCATCCTGTACTAGAGTGTGTGCCAGCTGCTAACGGTTACGGGCGGGAGAGTAACCCCTTTCCCCTGCCCTCCCGTAGCCCATGTTCCATCAGGGGCTACAGCAAAAATGGAGAGGAATCAAGAGTCAGCCAGTGAGTTGGTGGGGGAGGGGAGAAGGAGGAGGGATACTCCCAAACCTCACTGTCACCCCCTGGGATCTGTACACTGCCCTCAGGACGGTGTCTTGCACCCTAAATAACCACCCTGGTCTCGTTTATGTGCCTGGCTGGCCGCTGGGGATGCTAGGGTTGCCTGTCCCCTACTCAAATAGTCACAGTCACCACCCAAGTGCTGTCTCCGTCCCCCTCTCTGGAGAGTTTCATCCCCTGTGTCCCAGTGCCACTTCTGTGACTGTTCCTTCCCCTGAAGCTCCTGCATGTTCCCCTCATCCCTTCTCTTCTGTCCGAGGCTGGCTACCACCTTGTAGCCCCAGAACTCAGGTCCTCTTTGATGCAGAATGCTGGGGGCCCCTTCACCTGGAAGAGCTGCCAGACAGACAAGCGGGGTGGATACATAGCTGGGGGGAGAGCTAAGCTCTGTAGAGGGCCGTGTGCTGGTGTGAATCGTAGTCAAGGTTCAGAATCTCAGGGCCTCCTGCCCAGCGCCCAGCCCTGACTTCAGGCTTTTTACCCAGTGTGAGGGAAGGTGGTTCACCCTTGAGAAGCCAGACAGATAGATTTCCAATCACATATTTTACCCGTTGGTTGGACTTCAGGAAGTGTTTATTTTGGCTCACAGTTAGAAGGCACGCTCACACTGGGGCAGTTGTAGCAGCAGGAATCTCTTTTGAGGTTTCCCAATATAAGACCTTGCTGGCCTCATTCATAAAGCAACAACCCAGGGACACGAAAGACAAGTCCACACTGGCCTAGAACCTTTACTCCAGGGCCACCTGACTCTTGCACCTGGATGTGACATTGTCTAGCCCTTCAGTTCCAGCACAGTGGGCTGTCCTCGGGAAAGTAGAAGATCTTCAGTATCGGCCTGTGGTAGGCCCTCTTACCCATCCCAGAGATGGTGCTGCCCATTTAGTGGTGGGTCTTCCTACCTCAATGAACCCAAATTTAGAAAATCTCTCACAGAGAAGTCCAGGTTTGTGTTTCCATGGTGATTTTAGATTCTAAAGTTGCTACTGAAGATTAGCTATCATAAGCAGTTAGTAGCTTTGTAAAAAAAAAAGCCATTGAGCTACATAGCTGGCTAGGGACTGCCCCCAGGTTCACCGGTTGGCTAGGCTCACATTCTGATACACTGATGGCTTCATAAACCGAGATTAGAAAGACAGCTGGCTGAGGTAGGGCACACCTGTAATCTCAGCACATGAGAGAGAGATGGAGAAGCCAAAGATCAAGAATTCAGTATTATCCTTGGTGACATAGTGAGTTCCCAGCCAATCTGGGGTGCATGAGACCATATCTGGAAAAAAAAAGTTAAACAAAAGAGAGGTGACTGAGGATGCCTCTGTGGTTAAGAGCATTTGCTGCTCTTCCAGAGGACCCAGGTTCAGTTCCCAGCCCCTAAGCAGCAGCTCACAACTGTGTGGATACAAAACATGCACCTACATATACACACGCAGATAGAACACTGATACACATAAAATAAATACATCTATTTAAAACCCCAAACCGACAAAATCCTATGTAGGAGAGAAGTCTCCCTATTCAGCAAACAAGATGTTCAGAACAGGGACTTCTCAGAGAGATATATGGGTACCCACACAGCCCAGCATAGGGAACTGCCCCAGGGTTGAAAGCTATATCTCCGAGCAGAAATAAAAGCTTTGGACTCTGGCCAGACAGAGATTCAGGTCCCCACTCCAACACTGTTTTCTTATACATCGGGGTCAGTGGCTGCTCTGTGATCAGCTCCAAGGAACTCAGTCAGTCAGAAGGTAGTTAAAAAAAAAAAAAATCAAAACCTGTCATTTTGAAGCAAGGGCTGGTGACACAGCGCAGAGGAATAAAGGCTTTTGTCGCCAAGCCTGATGACCCCAGAATCTCCAAGGCAGAAAGAGAAAATCAAATCCTGTGAATTGATCTGACTTCCACCTGTTTTGCTTTGACATGGGTGTATCCCATGTACCGGATGGATGGATGGATGGATGGATGGATGGATGGATGGATGGATGGAGCAGAGGAAGTTTTCAAAGTAAAAAATGAAACAGAATCAGTGTACAGAGTGGAAAGCAAATTGTCTGAAGTTCTAAAAGCTCATTGCTACCGTAAGAGAAGAGAAGAGCTGCCTTTCATCTGCCGTGACTCAAAATGACTAGCGTTTTTAAGAGTCCTCTAGAAACAGGCCCTCACAGAAGGAAAAAAACAGTACTATCGTCAAAGAAGCACTCTCTGTTTGTACTTTACCCTCAAGATGGTGGGCGGCCCCTGCTTGGTGCTTAGAGCCTCTGCCTCCATTTCCTGTACCCAACATCAGTGGGACAAAGGCAGATAGATGTCCAGCATAGTACCTTTCTTTGGCCTTCGCTAGTGCAGAACTGCTAAATGTCCTTACTCCCCATCAGCCTGTTGTATCGGTAGGCACAAGGTCCTTGCACAGTGCCACCTCTGATCAAATCAGGAGTTGCTCTCAGCTCCAAATGTGGCTTTTATGAAATACAAGTAGACTCTGGTAACAGCCTGGGTCCGTCAGAAGAGACCCAGTAGATGGGCGTCAAAGAGAACAGCGAGTGCTTTGAAATTTCCCATGATTCTTGCCATGTCTTCACACACACTCACAGGAAGGCCATAATACAGTCAGTTTAACAGATTCCAGATCCAGGAGGAGAACAAAAAAGCCAAAACAAGTTTATTAACCTAATTTTGTTTTAGAGGTCTATTGCCCAGATGCACATTTAGCTGGAACATCTGAGAGGCACTCCATGGTCCATCAGTGTACTTGAGCCTACCTTGAGAACCGATGAAGTAACATGGATCTAAGATAAAAGGTTTACCCAGCACCGGGTGTGAACGCACAGAAGGTCTGATTTCTTCTGCGTTATGAGCCTGCACTCCGGTTCTAAGGAGTGTTGTTAAAACCCAGTCAGAATCCACAGACCATAGTCCCATGAGATGCCGGTATCAGAACCCCCATTTGCCAAAGTAGTAACAGAGTCTCAACAAGAGATGAGTCACCCCAGGCTTCAGAGCTATGAGACGTGGGTGGGAAGCTCAGGTTTCCTTTTACCCTCTCTGTTCTGGTTGTTGTGGAGGAAAAAAAAAAAAAACACCCTGACCAAATGTAACTTAGGAAATGAAAGAGTTTATTTCCACTTACAAGACACAGTCACTGAGGGAAGTCAGGGCAGGAACTTGAAGCAGAGACACCATGGAGGAACGCTGTTTGCCAGCTCACTTGGGCTCATGCTCAGCAAACTTTCTTATACAGCTCAAGACCGGCTGTGTAGGGCGTGGTGCCGCTCATAGTGGGCTGTGCCCTCCTGCGTCAACCAACCATCAGATCTTGATAGTCCCTTACGGACAATGCCCACATGCCAATCTGGGCTGTGTTAAGTTGAGAGTTAACGATAACTAGGAAGTGTAACCGCTTTCCTGCCCCGTCCCAGAGTCGCCGTGGTATGTTGAGTCAAGAACGTGATCGCTGTATGTGGTTGGGGGTGATGGCTGGGAGCACTGGAAACAGCCTGCAGTGCTGTAGACCCCTGGGATCAAATGCCCATTTTTGTTGATTGTGTTTTCCTTCTTTCTCCGCCCAATTCTTTAGAACACAAACCTGACCACTCAGGAGCACGAGAACATCATTGTGGTAAGTTGCCTGACACCCCCTACCTTCCTCCTCAAGCCTCAGCCTGATGCCCAGACTTTCTTCCCAGAGCACAGCATGCGCCACAAGCCACAGGCCTTGAGTCACTTGGCTGCCCACCCCCCAGCCCCCACCCCTCACTGCAGACCCCAGCTGCCTGGTGGTGGCCGTGATGGTCGGTCTTCGGGGTTCACTGTGAGCAGGTCTCAGTTGCTCTCTCATTTCCAAGTCTCCAGCTTGAGTAACTCCAGGCCATCATCACCCTGTCACTGGGCAGGTAAACCTGCTCTTTCTTGCCCTAGCTATGTCCCCTAATTAATCCACTACATAAAACCAAGATGACACCCCTCTGGTATATAGAGTAGGCTAGTCTTTTCTCAGAATTCAGCAGTCGGTGTTCTAAGCACCTTTGGGTGTAAAATATGTTTCCTGGACAATTTTAAGCTCTGAGACACCTAATGGGAAAGAGAGACACGGGATTGGAGTGGTTGTGGGTCTCCCTTCTCCCTGGGGATCGTTGGCCACAGGCCCACAAGGATGAAGGGTCCAGCTGATGAGCAGGGTTTCAGATGGCCCATGAGTACAAGCAGTAATAACAACACACTGGGACCACCTTCGGGGAGACAGATCTGTACTCAGGTGAATCGAGGGTAATATAGTTTGGGGAAAGGGATACGGAATATCCAGGGTGGGCAAAGATCGTTGGCTGAAGGCTCAGGTACCGAGATGCCTCATTAGCGTGGGGAGACATTCCAAGAATCCCAGGCGCTAGCTGGATGAGTTCTTACTGGGAGAAAAGAAGCTGAACCTGTGATCTTAACTAAGGCTACATGACATTCCGGAAGGCAGGCAGAGGTGTGTGAGGGTTTCTGAACCCCCCCAGACAAGGTCAGAGAAGGAGAAGCCTTCCTGGTTAAGGGTGTCCTCCATTTTTCACAGAGCCCAGAAGGCTAGCTGGACAATGGTAGACTTCGACCTTAACGAGCAGGGCGACAACTGATGACGTGTGTTGTATGCCCAGCTGTTAACCTGAGTCCACACATGGTAGAAACGGCCCCAGTGCCATGAGATTGTCTGTTGTAGGAAGACAAATGCAGTCACTGCAGAATAGAGGTACATTCGTGTGCAGTGAGAGAACCTGGGAGACAGAGCTTCCCAGGGCGGTGACATCTGAGCTGGGCTTCGAAGCATCAATAGGAGTTTGCCGGATGAGTCAAGGCATCCAGGGAAGAGCAGACCATTTATTTATTCAAAGGTGCAGAGGTTAAAGTAGTGTGGAGGCTCCAGTGATGCTGGAACCTAAAGCACACGGGAGCGAGAACCTGGGAAATAGAACCGGAAACGGAGATGAAGCAGGACCCTGCTCTGGAGAGAACAGGGTGAACCTGTGAGGGGGGGACCTGTATGTAGTTTTGGGGGTAACATGCCAGTTCCAGTGCCCCCGAGGCTCATCCTACTGATCTAGGACCCTGTATCTGCACCAGGAGGTGAGCTGCTGGTCTTTCATAGCTCAGTGGGGGCAGTAGAGCCTCCTCCCTTAGTCTGGCACCCGGTACACGGTTGGTGCACCTACCACAGCTGCCTTTGACTGCTCCTGACAGGATGAAGTAAGCCAACCTGGGTGCCCCCGCTCATTTTCCAGCACCTTCTCCCGGTATCCTGTCAGTGAATTAGCTTGTGTAAGCAAACCTTCACTGCCCGAGCCAGTGAGTGTGCCAAACTCCAGCTCTGTCCCACCAGCGGCCAGCCCTGCCATTGAGGACTTGCTTAGTCTATTCCAAGGCCCCAGCAGATCAGTCATGATGAAGATACATCTCAGTCAAGGGCAGGGCTGCTTCTGGGTGGTGGAAGAGCACAGGGGAGAGGCAGCTCATCTCTTCTGCTGGGGTAGGGGTGGGGCTAAGAGGTATTGACAGCAAGGTGCTTCCAGGACCTAGTTGTGTGAAGGGTCAGGGCGTGTCACCTGAGGAGAGATGGTTAAAGAGTGGACCAGTGTGCACAAGGCAGCGGTGAGACCCTCTGCGTCAGTGCCAGTCTGAGAATTACAGAGGATATTGTGTCCCCGGGTCCTACTGGACACCATGGCCTAGAAGGAGGAAGAAGCTCTGGCATTCATACATACAAGCCTTGGGGAGAAGTTTGTTCTGAGGAACCTGGCTAAAGTGGACACATTAAGGCCTGTCCTTGCCCCTTCCCCTCCCCTGACTTTAGTCTCCCCCTCCCCCCTGCATTCTGTCACTGCCATTACCATTACCATTAGGGGATTACATCCTTACCACATCTGCTTACCACATCTTACCACGTCTCCCCCTCCAGCCTGGAGTGTGTCCTCATAGTTAACCTGTTGACAGTCAGTCCCCTGTAGCAGCGCTTGGCCCGTCTCTCTGTACCTACTTTTCTACCAGAACTTGAGTGAGCTTTTCTCATTCCACCAGCCAGATCTCCAAGCCATAGAAACCATCAGTGGGTACTATTCGGGTATCAGCAGAGGCACATGGGCTGGCATACAGACCCGGGACAGGCCCACTTCCCATGACAGTAGATGGTACCATTGAACAGACTTAATGCTAACACAGGTTCAAGCTCAGAGAATCTAGACCCGGCTATGCCAATTGCTAGAACTGAAGAAAAAAAAATTTAGTTATCTTTTTATGTGTGTGGGTGTTTTGCCTGCACATACATTTGTGTACCATGTGCCAGAAGTACCATTCAAAGTCAGAGGAGCCCATTGGACCCTGTAGAACTGGAGATAGCAATGGTTGAGCCGCCATATTGGTGCTGAGAACTGCACCAAGCCCTCTCTGCAAGAGCAGCCAGCGCTCTTAACAGCTGAGCCACCTCTTCAGCCAACCTGAAGAAATTGTAATTTTATTCAGAACAGTTGTCCCTGGGCTGGAGAGATGGTTCAGCAGCTAAGAGCTTGTGAGTCTTACAGAGCACCCATGACGATTAACAACCGTCCCTAACTCCAGACCTCCAGACACTCACATGGTACACAGTCATACACACACAAGACAATGTCTGGTATTGGGGACACCTAGCTGGCAAGGTCCTGGGTTCAGTTTCCAGCAACACCCCCCCACCCCCAGAAAAAATCCCCCTCAGGACCTGGGAGTGATTTGAGGACCCCTGAGGGTGTCAGACTCTACAAGTATCTAAGTCTCTGGAAGACAGGATGTATTGACCCATAGCCTCCTGAACATTATTCTGTGTGCATTACCTCATCTCTAGAGTGTAGGTCATGTGGTACAATCTGAGCAGGTGCCAGCTGTCACGTGGGAGAACCTCAGGAACATTAGCAGGAGAAGTCTCTACTTTCTGTCCAGAGACAGGTTTTTTGTTGTTGTTTTGTGTTTTTTGTTTTGTTTTGTTTTCCAAGTAATTTTGAGCCATGGTTGTTGAATACACAGACGAGGAGTCCATGAAGAGAGCTCTGACTTAGCTTTGACATTGCTGATATTTCTTTGTGGTTGTTGTTGTTGTTGAGGTCTTGAGCCAAGCCTACTGGCACAGGTGCGTTTTCCTAGGTTTTTAGGAGAATCACAGCTTCAAAACCTGACGGGGCTATCCAATGAATCCAAGTACAGCCCCAGCCAACTTAGTGAGATCTTTTCTGGAAATAACACAGGGGGCTGCAAGATCGGTTCAGTGGGAGATCCCCTGCCTACAATGCCCTAGTGAGGGCTGGGGATGTGGCTCGGTGGTAGAGCATTACTTCCCACTAGTGTGGGTGACATCTGGATTGTCTAGCCTTAAAACTGATAAAAGGAAGGAAGGCGACCTTGCCTTTTCCCACTACCTTCCACCCAGAGCGTTCATCTACAGCAACAGCTTCTGCCATGGGTCTTGCTCTTCATGGGAGCAGGGTGACAAAGGACATGTTCCACATCTGTCACCTCACCTGTCAGTGTATCCCGGAGAACCTTCCAGAGCTTTCTGTGAAATCCTTGCTCAGGTACCTCTCTTTCTTCATAGCGAAGAGGGTGGTTTCTCATTTTGAAGGTACCTTGGGCATTGTCAGACTGTGACATCCTTCCTTTACTCCCTAGAGGCCTTTGGGACAGAAATATCTTGACGTGTACCAGATTCCCCCTTAGGGCCACTTCACCCTCACGAGACCTACTTTATAAAGATACTTTTTGACAATCATGACACAGCTTTGTCATCTGCAGAGTTCATGCTCAGGAAACGTGGTGTGCCGAGTTACCAAAATAATTACCAAACCCCCTCAGTGTTTTAAGTTTATTTACTTACTGTGCGTGTGCATGGGGGGGGGAATCCAGGAGCGTGTGTGCCGTGGTATATGTGTGGACATCAACAGACAACCCTGTGGAGCCAATTCAGATGTCCCTTCTTGTGTGGGTTCCTGGGACCAAACTCGGGTCACCAAGCTTACACAGCAATCCCTTAACTCTGCAAGCATCTTACCAGGTCTGGTCGTGTATTTTTTTTTTTTTTTTAAGATTTTACAAATGGCATTTGTGGCAATCCAAGGGCTTCTGGTTGGACATGCCTGTTGTTTTTCTTTAACTGCTGTTTTTTTTCCGGTCCGGTGGATTCAGTGCTCCAGGCTCTGTAAAATGCCACTTCCCGTTCTTTTCTCATGGGCTGCTCAGGATTCTCAGTGAGCCACCCTGTCTAACACGCCAAGCAAAGGGCAAAGGCTTCCAGAAAGAGTCCGCAATAATGGGACCCCGCTTATTGGCTTATATCAACATGTTTTGAATACAGTCATCATTTTATGACCAGCAGAGGCCTGGAGGATTCCCTGACCCACTGTCTCTTTATCTGTCCCTGTGGGCCTTAAGGATCAGTGAAGGAGTGACTTGGATGTGGCACTTGACAGCTGCCGTCAGTGTTAAACTAGCTACCCCACTCCACTATGTAATGCACGTCCATTAGGAAGGAGGCCTGGTAGGAACTAGAGGGACCCAACCCAAGGGGACCACACCCTGCCCTGCTTGGTACCCGAGGAGAGCCAGGGAAGTGCCTCATGAACAGAGAAGGGGGCCTCCCATCCTGTTGCTGCCACTGTGGCCTGAAACCTTCCTTTGTTTAACGAGCAGGGCCAAGCTGGGTCATCTGGCCCTGGAGTGGAGAATTGGGCATGGTCTGCTTCCAGGAGGCAGAGGAAAGGGTGTCCTGGCTGCTCAGGTCACTGGAAAGCTTACCACTCTGTCTTTCCATTTCGTGCCGTCCCTCATTACCCAGTCTCTCCTTCAACGTAGTCATTGTCCCCAGACACTCTTCTGTTCCTTGGTAATAACGCAGAATGAACAGTAACCCAAGCATGAGGTCACCAAAGTGACTTTGAATCCCGGTTCTGCTGCTGGCTCACTGTGCACCCTGGGTTGGTGCTTTCCCCGCCTCTCCAAGCTCAGACTCCCATTCTCAGCGGGTGAGTAGGAACTCCCTGCACGTGGACAAGTCACACACTTCTAGCCACACGGGTTGGCATAGGCCACCGAGGACACCATTGAGAATGCTGTCATTTTATCAGGCTGGGATGGTGAGAGGCGGGAACTTGCCTTGCCCTGGGCTGCAAACTCCTGACCTGAGTTCCTTGGGACTGCCCAGCAGTAGAAATGGGACCAGAATGACAAGGTGTTGTCTCCTCCTCCTCCTCCTCTTCCTCCTCTTCCTCCTCTTCCTCCTCCTCCTCCTTCCAAAAATCGTCAGTTTTGAAATTGAAGGTATCACCTGTGGCCACTCTGTTGAAATGACTTCATCACAAAGAACCACTCGAGTATCTGGTTACTCACAATCTCCATGTTTTGGTTCCTTGCCTACACCCCTCTCTGGTACTTGGCATTGAACCCAGGGTCTTGAACATACTACATAAACACCCTGTCACCATGCTGCACGACAGCACCTTTCTGTTGTAACTCATTATTCGAAGATAAAGTCTCAGCTGCCCAGGCTGTCCTAGAACTCACTCTGTAACGCAGGCCAGCCCTCCAATTCCAGTTCCCCTGTCTCGGCTTCCTGAGCACCTAAGGATGATTCCTGGACTTGACTTTTTTCCTTTATACTGTCTTTTCCATGATACCCCTAAACCAGCAAGTCCCTAGTATTACAGGGCAGGCCCCAAGGAGGCTTTCTAAGCAGTTACTTAAGGAGTGCGGGGGTTACCCCACCCTTCTTTAATATGAACTGGAGTGTGTTTAAAGGCCGTTGGGTTGTCACGTACAAGGGGACTGCTGCTTATGGGGTTATAGCTATGCTGGGCTTTCTGTGGTGCACAGGACTGGCACCCCCCACAAAGCACAATCAACCTGATAGTTAAGGAACCCTGCTTGTTGATGCCTGCACATTGGATGCTTACAGAGACTTTTTGGACCTTACCTTTCAGAGGGTAGATTTAGGATCATTTGAGACAAAGTCACCTGTTCCAGTGGTCTTGGAACTAGGAAGGGGCCAGATCAGAATGTCAGCCAGGACTCTGCCCAGCCTGGATGCTCATCCCTTAGGTTGTTGCGAGGAGCCCAGCTCCCCACAGAGCTAGGAACATAGAAGGTGCCAAGATGCATTATTGAAAATAGCATCCTGTTCACCCAATCAGATGTCCTGCTGCTTAGTCAGAAGTTGTGGGCTTAAAGGCAGTATGGATAAATGCCAGCTAGGCATGAAGCCCCTGAAGTTAGATGTCTCATTTGTGAGTCTAGCCTGGAACCTTTCTGCACTCTGGAGCTCTGGTCTGTACATTAGAAAAGGCATTCTACCCAGCAGAGAATGGAGGGATATTTTCATTTCTTTTCGAGTGGCTCTCTTCTGCAGACTACACCCCTCCCTCATGCCCCTCCCCCACCCCCACCAGATCCCGCTGACTGATGGCTGTTCATTTTCTTGTAGGCAATTGCGCCTCTGCTGGAAAACAACCACCCACCACCAGATCTCTGCGAATTCTTCTGCAAGGTACGGTATCACTGCAGCGGGCTATCAGAGGCCACTGCCACCACGGTGTGCCAGCTAGGTGCGTCTGAATGCACTAGCTCAATGCCAAGCCTACCTGCCAGCCTGGTCAGGGTCCCAGATGTAGGCAGAAGGCATACAGGTGCCCCGTGGTTGGGGCTGCTGCCCTCTGCGAGACAGGCTGAGAGGAGGACCAAGCGTCTGGCTTTTCTATGGACTATTTCTGGCTGTCTTGGGAGGCAGCTTGCTTCTAGTCTTCTGGATTCCTGACGTCAGAGCTGGGTTATTCTTAGCTGAGGCTCCTCTGAGCACTGACTGGCCCAGGGTAGGGGCCCGGCTGCAGGGCTTTCCCTGGACAAGGGAAACTGTCAGCATGTGCCAGGTCAGCTTGGAGGAGCCACAGAGCAGGGCAGCATGCCCAGGGACCTGATGCCAACCTCCCAGCAGAGTTTGTCTGCAACATACCCAGGCACACCAGGGGACAGGGCCTTCCCAGAAAGCACAGCTTAACAGCTTGGGGGCTGAACTGGCACGCAGATCTGTCTGTCCTTTGCGTTCTCGAGTTCTCTCTCGTTCTCTCTTTCTCAATTTCAGTGTGTGTGTGTCTGTGTGTGTGTGCGTGCGTGTGCGAATGCATATGTTTACTCTAATAACGATATCCATAGAAAGACACACACTTGGTCTTCACCTGTGGCACCGCCATGCCAGCCATAGCCCTGCAGACTAATTTCCTTTGTGCTCTCTCCTTCCTTGATTCCCTTGGGTACCATATGGGGGTCCCTGCCCCACATCTACAACCCCATGCTGCCTGTTGGGAGACATTAGAGTATGTAGCAAGACTGTGTTCTGTTTGCCTCTGCTTCTCCTATAAGGAGATGTTTCCCAGTGACTCACACATTGGCCAGCCCATGGCACCTGGGGAGGCAGTTTAGAACCCAGCACAGAAGCCCCTTCCTTCATGTGGTATAGGTGATGGGCCCTCTGGTCCAAGCAGAGGAACAACTACCAGCACAGCAAGCCCACACAGGAGAGGAGCCTCTGCCCCAGCATTCAGTGTCAGATCCTAGGCAGATGGAGTAAGAGAGCCCCAGCCTCTCTCCCGGTTTCATAGTTAACAAATGTTGATTCCAGAAAACTGACCTTTGTTAAAGTCTTATAAACGATTTATTTACTTCCTCCATACGCTCGTGCACACGTATGTCATGGTGCACAGAGGTCACAGGAGAATGTGTTAGGCTCCGTGGACTCCTTTAATCTTGTGGGTTTGGGGGATCAGGCTTCATGGCAAACACCTTACCGAGCAACCTCACTAGCGTCTCCCACCCCCAAGTAAGTCTTTCTCTGGGGTCCCTGCTAGCATAAAGCAAAGTAGGAGAAAATGGACCCTGAGCAGTCTCTGCTGGGGTCTAAATGGAAGAGATAAGAACCTGGCCAGGGCCATGGGGCTTCAGGCTGTCTTCGCTCTGGTGGCTAAGCCCTGGAAGAGGAGCTTCATTGCTACAAAGCCCTCCTCACCAGTTCCCCGGGGCCTCGCTGAGCCTGCCTGAGGAGTCTCCAGACAGCCCTTCCTGCTGGACTTCCAGATCTCAGACACAAAGGTTTGAGGAAATTTTGCTGCTCCAGTTTCCTAGAAAAGCCTTGAGCTCTTTCTCCCCAGGTCCGCTGACCTCAGTAAGATTTGCAAACGGAACTCCTTCTGGGCCAAGGGACTCATATGTACAAGCAGGTCAGTGGGGCAGAGTTACTGGGCCAAGAGAGCTTGTCTACCCCAGGAAGGCCTAATTTAATTTCAAAGCAAGACGTAGTTATAAAATAAGTACCTAAGCTCAGGCCCACTGACGCTTTGCATTGGATCCCCACCACTGCTTAAAAGTATGTGTGACGGCTCACACCTGTAATTCCCAGCACTCGGGAGATGAAAGACAGGAAAATCCAGGTGTTGAGGTCATCCTTGGCTACACATTAAATTCCAAGACAGCCTGGGCTACATGAGACCCTGTCTTAAAAAATTTGAGTGTGAAGGACTCCATGGTGACAAGGAAGGAGGAGCCAGGCTTGGCCTATGGACTCCTGCAGGATGTTGACAGCAGCCTCTGAGAAGTCAGAGGCTGCCCCACATCTAGAATGTTCTCCAGCTTATCAGACAGGCCTGCTGAATCTTACTGAGGAATGAGATTGGAGGCAGAACATACCTTTCTGAAATGGTCCTAAACATTCAAGGTCAAACAAAAACCAACAAAAGATTCTATCTTGTCCATTTTTTTTAACCGTATTCTGATTTTAAAGACTGTGGTTTTCATGCAGTTGCGTTAGAAACTGAAGTCCATCCACAGATGTGTATAGCAGTATTTGTCAGTTGCCAGAATTTTCGAAGCAGTCAAGGCGTTCCTCAGTTACCTGTGGTAACTGCCCGTGCAGTGGAATCTGTGCGTGTATGCGTGTGCATGACTATACATGCACACATGTGCACATGTATGCAGGATTTGGAGGACGACCTCAGATGCCTTTCCTTGGGCAGATTTTGTATTTTGACACAGGGTTTCTTCACTGGCCTGGGGCTTGTCGATTGGCTAGGCTGGCTGGCCAGCGAGCCTCCTCCTGTCTCTCTGTCTCCCCAGTGTTGGGATTGCAAGCATGTTGATTTTAATTTTTATATATGTATAAATGTATATCACATGTTACATTTATGTGGGTCCCCATAGAGGCCAGAAGAAGGCATCAGATATCCTCAAGTTGGAGTTATAGGCAGTTGTAAACTGCTTTGTGTGGGTCCTGGGAACCAAATTCCTGCCCTTTGCAAGAACAGCAAACTCACTTAACCGTGGAACGATCCTTCCACACTCATACCTGGCTTGTTTTGGTTTAAGATACATTTTATTTATTTATTTATTTATTTATTTATTTATTTATTTTATTTATATGAATACACTGTAACTGTCAGACACACCAGAAGAGGGCATCAGATCCCATTACAGATGGTTGTAAGCCACCATGTGGTTGCTGGGAATTGAACTCAGGACCTCTGAAAGAGCAGTCAGTGCTCTTAACCGCTGAGCCCTCTCTCCAACCCATGCCTGTTTTTGTTTGTTTGTTTGTTTGTTTGTTTTTGTTTGTTTTAACAGAGGTTCTAGGGATGAAACTCAGCAAGCATTTTTCTGAGTCATCTCCCGGGGTCCCATCAGGAGACTCTTATTTTTCTGAGTCATCTCCCGGGGTCCCATCAGGAGAATCTTATTTAGCGTTATAAAGAAATGAGCAGCCAGCTGTGGTAGTGCACATCTGTAATCCCAGCAGTGTGGAGACTGAGGCAGGAAGACCTATAGTCCTCAAATCTGAAATCCAAAACGCTCCAAAACCTCAAACTTTTGAGTGCTAGCCTGACATCATAAGTAGGAAATAGGTGTCAGAATAGGCACACTAAAAACATTGCGTAAAATTACCTTCAGGCTCTACATAAAAAAGAACGTATTACTTCAGGGCTCCTCATTTCAGAGCCTGTTAACCTGAGTACACAGCCCTGGGAGGGCCGAGCCACTAGGAAGGTTCTGAGCTCAGTGATTGCCTCGGGGAGGAACAGGGTGCTAGCCAAACAGCTTGAGGCAAAACTACTGTATACTAAGTGTCATGGTGATTTGAACCCTTAACCTTGGGTCTAGACCTCTAGAAGGGGCATCCAGAGGCCACTGTAGTGTAGACTTCAGACTAAGGACCTTGTGGCGTGTTAGGATGAGCTAACAAATACCTACAAACAAGTGTACTGTGGTACTGTGAGCATTGAGCAGCCGGGGAGGCTGGAACACATCCCTGCTTGGCAGTTTTGCCCTGAGCCTAAACCTGTCCTAAAGCATGAGGTCTTCCTAAACACACTGCATCATTCAGCAAAGAAAACCACATCCTTATTGGGCTTGATATCATCCTGTGGCCACTGGAAGCAGTGGGCTGTGGGTGGGGCTCCCCCCAGCCCACACTGACTGCATCCCTGTCTCCCCAGCACTGCAGAGAGCGGCCCCGGTCTATGGTGGTCATCGAGGTGTTCACACCGGTGGTTCAGAGGATCCTTAAGCATAATATGGTGAGTACCTGGTCAGCCTTGGTTGGGTGGGCGTGGCCAGTGACTGTTTCTGACGCTGGGAGTTTGCCCTTCAGGACTGTTTCTCTCCAGTCAAGCAGACGGCAAAGTCTCTCTTCCCAGTAGGTCAGAATAGATGTGGCTACTGGGGACATGGCTTACACTGAGTGGTCCCCACTATGGGATACAGGCAATACTCTGCTCTCCAGGTTGTGGAGTGGGACTCTTCACTCTTGGAGGATAGCCTGGGCTCAGTGATTTCCTTCTGAGGGTGTGGTGTAGAGGGGTGAGAGCAGCTTCAAGGTGAGAAGACCTTGGGCAGTTGTGGCCTCAGCTGGGCATAAATGTAAACCTCGGAGTGGTGACTTCTGGAACCTTGGCCCGGGGATCTTTCTCCCTGTAGCTTGTTACCTCAGTCCAACCTTAGGAAATAACATATCTTTGACTCTACCCGAATAGGACACTAAAACAGACAAAGGACAGCTCAGGGTCTGAAGGCATTGCTCAGTTAGTAGTATGCTTGTCCAGCATGCATGAGACACAGGGTTCTATCTCCAGCACTACATAAACCAAGGTTGTCAATGGACCCTCGAATCCTAGCCCTGGGGAGGCAGGCAAGTTCAAAGTCACCCTCAACTACATAATGAATTAAAGGTCAGCTGGTTCTACATGAGACCCTGTCATGTCAAAACAAAGGTGACAGGGGGCACACACACATTAGGGGGAAGGAAGTGATGACAATCTAATCGGAGCCGAGGTTAGTCCATGTTTGAAAACATAAAGACAGAACTTAATCGTCCCATTTAAGGACCTGGTATTCAACATTTGTGGAACTTAATGTGACAGTGGCAAAATTTCTCAGTACTACATGTATAGACTTTACTGAGCAAGACCTGCTGGCTGGCCACAGGCCTACCACACGGACACTGCCTAAGAATAACAAATGTGTTTCTGGAGATTGACTGGGCACCTTTTTGGAACCAGATATCATGGTGTCATTAAGAATTCAAAGAGACATTTCCTCGCCGGAAGAAGTACACCTAAAGATGCCTTAGGGGTAGCGCACTGAAATAAGAGGTCACTTCACACCTGCAAGGCTAGGAACACAAAAACCCCAGGACCATGCATGTGTTCTTAGCGCTGAGCTATCCCGCTGCCTGTTTGACAGTCTGACGACACCAAGCATGCACTCACTGCGTAGCTCTGGGAGGATCTTGACCACATACAGGTTGGCTACAGAGCACAGGCAGGAGGCAGGGTGAAGAGCAGGAGCCAAGGAACAGTAGCCAGAATGAGGCGCTGTGGGCATCTCCCTAGGTAGGAAGGCAAGATAAAGTGTTTCAGAGCCTTACGTCCTGCCAGGACTCCATGCCTAGCTTGAGAGTTGTATATGTATATGCCCACAATGTGCACACGTGCCCATGAACGAGGGAGTGTGTGTGCACGCTTCTTAAGCTCCTCTCTGAGTTCTGTTCCTCACCTGTGTAAACAAATGACCATAACGAACCACCCCTACTCCTATGGTGGAGATCAAATCCAGAGCTCTGCCACTGAGCCTGCAAGGTGATTCTTCAAGGGGGGGTCCCATTGAATGGGGGCAGGATGAGTTCAAGTGTCACCCGTGAGACATCTTGCTGGCCAGATACACTTTTTCCAGAGCTGGAGCACCAGAGTGTCTTCCTCTCGCTGATCAGACTCTATGGTGGCAGGCAGACCAGTGGGGACTGGTACCTGACAGCCCTCAGTATTGCATACCTCGCTGAGCATGGGAATGGCCACGGTTGGACAGCACTTTGAGCCTGTCCTAAAATCGCTTCCTCTTCCTTCGTTGCCCAGTTCCTTTAGACCAGGCTAGGAGAAGACCCTGGGATACTCTGGGTACTTGGCTTGAAACTCCTCGTCCGGGCTTTGTTTGCCCACACCTGCTGATGTCAGTCTCAGAGACCGCCACTTAGCTAGAGCCGGAAGAAGCCCTTTGTTCTTGCTCAGGGCCCATAATGGAGCCTCAAGTGCTGCCACAGATGGATGCCTGTGAGCTCTAAGTGCAGCTGTCTCCCAGGCTGGGAGCACTACCTTTTTTGAGTGGCCGTCTTCCTCTTCATTACTGCAGCCGCGCTCCCCCCACCTTCCCTGTCTTCAATGACGCAACCACACTGCCCTTCCCTGGTTGTGTTCTTACACACTGGCTGCCTCCTGCACGCCCACGCCTGACACCCTCATCGCCTTCCAGTTCCCACTAGCATCCTCCTTCGAATGTAGGCCCCACCTGTAACCCAGGCTAGCTAGCCACAGATTGACGAATTTCCTGCCTCGGCCTCTCAAGAGTTAAGGATAGCTGTGTGCCAGCATTCCTGGCTCCCTGCTATGCCTTTGAGGATGGTTTGTCGTCATCATCTTCAGACACTCTTTTAGACTCACGCTGGAGGCTAGGAGTGTCTGGGGTCTGCCAAACCAAAAGAAACCCCTGAGGAACTGTGTCTGGGTTCATCCCAATTCAGGAGGAAGCTGGTGTCTCCTCGATGTCTGTGGCAGGGTCCTTGGAGCTACGCTTGGCCCAGAGCTACCTTAACCTGTTCCCAACCCAAAGAGATGAGTTTCTCTTCTCACTATATAATTCTACACTGGCATCTCTCTGACTGCTGGCTACCTTAGATACCAGCTCAGAGATTCAATTCAGATAGCTACCTCAAAAGAGCTTGTAGTTTCCCCGGGGGTGACCAGAGGTCAAACAACATCTGCCACTCAAGGTCCTGCAGAGGACAGACCTAGACTTGATGACCTTTGCCTGCCGGCAGATCCATGAGGTATGAACATGCAGCCTGTGCCAGGACCCCTCCTCACCGTGGGAATCGTTAGAGGTGTTGAGTTCGTGTGTGACGTCTCCCTTCTCCAGCTCCTCCTGGCCATGTTGCCATAGCTCTGCCTTTGCTCTCTCTCTCCAGGACTTCGGGAAATGCCCAAGGCTGAGGCTCTTCACCCAGGAGTACATTCTCGCCCTGAATGAGCTCAACGCGGGCATGGAGGTGGTAAAGAGGTTCATTCAAAGGTGTGTCTCACCTACCCACCCAGCCACCCCCTCCTCTCCCTGCCCCACACTACCTGGTTTATGACACTCAGGGAAGGACTGTGTCTTGCCTAGCTAACACATGAAGGTGAAGGGGAACTCCTGAACCCTGTTCTTGTCTCTGTGACCCCGCCACCAGGGGACTGTGGGTGTTTAGGGTGGAGCAGGGACCCAGGGACAAGAGCGGTGTTGCCTTCTCACCTTGGCCTGTGTTCTGTGAGGTTTCCTTTTTAAATGTTCTCCTCGTGCCTCAGTTTCCTTATCTGTGAAGTGAGATCTCCGGTGCCCATTTGGTCCAATGACTGTGGCAAGCCCAGTGAGCTAAAGTGTACAAATGTCTCCTGTGTTTGAAGAAAACCTGACTTGGGAGCTGGGGATGTGGCAGCTTGGTAAATGGAGGCAGGAGAATCAGAGGTCCAAAGACATCTTTGGCTACATCGCAAGTTAAAATCCAGCCCGAGCCAATTTCAAAACTCGGATTGGTGACCTGTGCCCAATATAATCCCACAACACATGGCCATACTCAGGCAGATTGTTTTTGCAGGACCTGGTGTCAGACATCACTACCCTACATACACACACACACACACACACACTTCTAACCCCGACAATGGCCTGTGGGGTCAAGAACAGGACAGGCATGTCTCAGTGACAGAAGCCATATTGGCAGTTTCCTAGAGATGCTCCGTATGTCATCCTAGACACACAGGTCAGCCCATTTTACAGATAAGCGACCGTGACACAGAGGCCTCCATAACAAACAGTAAGGTAAGATGTAGTAAGGGCTCTGTGATGTCACCTTAGCCCCGGGCTCAGCTAAGGTGACCTGAAATGACATTGTTTTTAACAAAGCGCACGTCTAAGAATAAAACGATCGTGAATAGTCATTTCAGAAACACCTGTGCAAACGGGGCTGTCTCGAGACAGAGCCACCACGTGCTGTATAGTCTGAACTAGGTTTGATCCTCTGTCACAACCGAGGAGAGTCTGTCGCTCTTCACACGGCTCAAGACATAGGGGTAAAGTCTAAGCAGTTGGCTAAGCCCCTAAGCTGGCACCTCTCAGGCCTGAGCCACAGGGCACAGGCTCTCCACCTGCCCTCCAGAGGGCTGACAGAATGGGTGGTCTCCCACCTGGACCACCTCCCCAGCTCTGCGTCAGGCCAACAGATGCTCTACAGCCTCCTTACCTTCCCTCTCCTGTCTTTCAGCATGCATGGCCCCACAGGGCACTGCCCACATCCCCGGGTCCTGCCCAATCTCGTGGCTGTGTGTCTGGCTGCCATATACTCCTGCTATGAAGAGTTTATCAACAGGTGAGCACTAGTGTGCTGGGTGGGTCTAGGTGGGAGCACAGTGCCACCCTATCCTGGCAGTGTGTCACTGAAGATGATAGATTGTCACCCCTCTCTGCAAATGGCCGTGGGTGTGGACCCAGCCCTGGGTTAGGGCTGAGGAGAGGACTTGATACCCAGTATCAGAAGCTCAAAGGATACAGACACCTGGGCTCTGGCTGTTGAAGGCCTGCTCACTGTGGGGAAAGGCGACATTCTGAGGGGGTAAGGTAAGCGTGTGTGTGTCTGTGTGTGTGTGTGTGTGTGTGTCTCCAAGTGTTTGGGTGAACACCTATCATTTTAGGCTAAGGCAGGAGGATGACAGGTTTAAGTCTACAAAGTAAGAACTTGAGGGACAGGGGCCATGTAGAGTGTGTACATGTGTGTACTAATATGTGCATGGGTTAAGGGGTGTTACGGCATCTTCCAGCAAGTGTTGGTATTGTGCCTGTGGTCCCCTCCCCTCCTGAGGCAAATGTCATAGATCCCTGACTTATACCAGAGCCTGTCAGGTGGGAGACAGGCCATGCACATGGTAAAACCAAACAGTGAGGGAACCAGAGCAGGTTACTGTGAGTGTTTGCCTGGGAGGCGGGGGGGGGGGGGGAGCCTCAGAGCCTAGGATTTAGGTGGAAGTGGGTGACTACTGTGTGTAGCTGAGACCCCTGACTCAGGAGACTAGGTGTGACTCACTCAGTTGTGTGTCCTCCAAGGTTTGATCCAGACCCATCTGTCCTGGTTAAGGCTGTTTGGGGGATACCAGAGGGCACAGATACCATTGATCTGGGAGCTACTTCCTGTAGTATTGTAGATCGTGCAGGGCGTGGTGCTGCGGCTGCCCGGTTGTTCAGTTGAAACACTACACAGCTCTGAGGCTCCCCTGCTGTCTAAGTACTAGTAGAGCTGTGGGGGGTGGGGTGGGGAGGGGGGGACAGCATCGGCTAAATGAAGTGTTCTCCCAACACAAAAGCCCTAGTGCTTTTGGGGATCTCTGACCTTGGGCAGATGGAGCTGCTAAAACCAGCAGGCAGAGAAGGGCAGGGCTGTGACAGATAAGGGATGTTTCTAGGGAGCAGGGCATGAGAGAGGAGGGTTGGTCTTCCACCCCTCGGTCCTGGTCCTGACATTGAGAGGAGACGTCTCAATACGATGACCAACCATGTCCTTGTTTTTAAAAGAGGGACTAGATCCCCAGGAGTCTGCTCAAAGGCTGAGCTGCCTCTTCCCATAGGAAGACAGTTCTGTCTGTCTTGAGATATACATCCCTTCCCATCCCACAGTTGCTGGTGACATCACCGATCAGAGCGCCTTTGTCCTGGAGATGTGGCTGCTGGACTTTTGCCAACACGACACAGGGTCTATTCAGCTTAGAAAAAAAGAAATGAGGACCGAATACCCAGGCACCCCGGTGCCCTTCTGAATTAATTGGTGTGGTCTTTAGAGTCCACGGGCTAGAGCTAAGAAATCTTGCCAATAATAAGTTAGAAGGGCCCTTCAGGGAGATACTATTGAAGACAAGACTACCAGACTTAGGGAGGCAGGAAGAGAAGCATCCAGGCAGAGGGAACAGAGTATGCAGTGGCCCAGGGGTTGCTGGTGGATCACAGTGTTTTTCCATCCGTATTTCCTAAAAATACCTGCTGCTGTCACTCAGCCTGCTGAAGTTCGCTGCAGACTTTTTCGGCTGGGGATTCTGGAATCTGCTTGCCTCAACTGCCCGGGGTCTACTCATGGGCAGAGGGTCCCTGGAGCGCAGGAGCCCAAGAAAAGTTAGTGTATCTAAGACTAGAGACGGAGAAGATGGAAATGAAGGGACTCCCCAGGGCCAGCGTGGATAGCAGGTTGAGCACAGCAGGTAAAAGAGCTTGCCACACAAGTGTGAGGACCAGAGTTCAGATCCCCAGAACCCACATAAAAGCTAGGCTTTTGTGAGTAGGCTTGGTAGCCACTTATAATCCTAGCAGTGTGGTAGATTTCCTAGCTAGCCTAGGGAAATGGACAAGTTCTGTTTGACTGAGACTCTGCTTCCAGAGCTAATATGAAGAGCAATCAAGGAAGACATCCACCATCAACCTCTGGCCACTACGTGCGTGCACCTACATGCCTGCAAACAGACATGCCCACACAATACCACATGCACACACTAATAATATGAATAAGAAGTAAACGTAGGTTCGGTGTGTGGGTGTGGAGCCCAGACAGATGCTGAGCAGGGGGACGACACAATTTTAGAGGATGTTGGCCTGGATTATGTTTTCTGAGAACATGGGCGAGCCAACAGACAGTTTAAGTAGGGGAGGGTTGTCATAGGATTGCCCTTTCGCCACCCTGATACTGCCACAGGGTGAGAGATGGGCTTCAGGGCCTCGGTCATGAGAGACTGTCAGGATGAAGGCACAAGGAGGATAAGATAGATCGTCCTTCCTCCCACACAGACCGGCCTTGGCTCCCAGGAGTGCACAGCTGAGCCCCTGGGAGCCCTCGAGTTGGGGGGTCCCAGCTGATGGCATGGCTTCTCCTTCCTCCAGGCCTGCTTCTGCCAAGTTGTTTCCTTTTGGCCCATTCATTGGTCAGTCTCTCCCAGTGTCCTCCAGGCCTCTGCACCACTCCCGGTGAGCACACGATGTTCCCGCACTTGAAAGAACAGACAGCCTGACCCAGGTTAACATGCCTGTCTGGAAAAATCACCGAGCAGGGCCAAGAGGCCTTGAAAACCCACTTCTCGACCCCAGCAGAGGCAAACAGGGAGCTGGAGTGTAGAGCACAGGGGAGCAAATGAGGATCCATGGGGATCCACAGGCCCGCCTCTCAGGCCACACACGGCTTCCGCCCACTATGGAGTTCATAGGTTTCTAGAAGCGAGTGATTGCTTTTCCCCAGCAAAGCCAAAATGTGTTGATTGAGCGCCCTCAGTGGGCTATGCTCGGCCCTGGCTCACAGCAGGTGCAAAATGGATTCAGGCCTTCCCTGAGGTTTTGCACATGGCCCCAGAGCTGCCACGTGGACCAACAGTGCGAGGCTCAGCCCTGCACACCAGTACACAGTACACGTGCTTGCTTCTCTTTGGGGACACGGCACCCGTGACAAGTTTGAGAGGGACCTGAGCAGGTAGCTCTTTCATTTTCTTTTTTAAAAAGCACTTTTCATTTGTTTGTTTATTTGCCTTATTTATTGTGGAGAGGCTCTCACAGTCAGAGAACAACTTAAAAAGAGTCATTCTAATCTTTACCATGCAGGGCCTGAGGGTCGAACTCAGGTTGTCCGCCTTAGATGCAAACCTTCCTACCTATTGAACCATCTTGCCAGCCCAGTGAACAGCTGTTTCTGGTGACTCCTGGTGCTGCCCTGGTGCTGCTTTCCACTTCCCTCAGCCTGTCCTAGAGCCAATGAGCTCCTTGAGTTTGGGAAGTGTTTTGAAAGTTCCCTGATTCAGGGGGAATGTCCTAATGTCCACTGGGTAGGAAAACTATGGTTTGGGGGTTCAGGCAGGAATGTGTCCATGGCAGGAAGAGGAAATCAAAGGGGGCTTCCTGGAGGAGAAACCTACAGAGTCTTGGGACCTTAAAAGACAGCTTGGTTGGTAGTACTTAGTCCCAAGAGCTAACTTCAGATCCAGCTACTTGGATTCATGAGCTGTGACATCCAGATCACCTAACCCCGTGGAGTCTGTCGATGTTCCTAGGAGATGGTATCTGTAAGCACCTTTGTGAAACCTGGTAGAGAGGCACGGACACCAGCCCTAGAACCTGTTGCTCTTGTTACCATGCCTGAGGATGCTGTCCCGGGAATTATGGGTAATTTGAAAGGGGCTTTCTCAGGTCAAGGCTCTGACAAGTCCTACTGCAGCAAAAAGACTCCAAACATCAGTGTTTGGCTTCACATTTTCTAAGCAACTGTGGCCCAGAAGCCAATTCCTCAGTCACCACCTTGTGACATCTCATGACACCAAGCACAAGCAGCGTACCTCCAGGCAATCGAAGAGGCTAGAGTTTAAGAGGCCAGCCCTGAAGAGACCCCTGGAGATTCCAGGCTCGCCAGAATGTGGGTCTTGGGAGCTATAGAAGTGAGCCTTGGGCTCCCGGGGAAGAGGGGTGGATGCTATGCTATGCTCTCTCACCTGGTGAGGGCAGACAATCAAATGGGAAATGTCACCTGAGGGACACGGTGGCATCAAGGTAGGAGGGACAGCTTCACTTCAGGAAACAAGTGAGCAGAGCTGGACTCCTCAGATGTCACAGGTATATCAGGAAGGATCCCGGGTTGGTGTTGATATGGCTACGCCAGGTACTAGGTGGCTGTCACAGAGAGGGGTAGCCTTGCTACAGGTGTGTCTGTGTTTACTCATTGAGCAGCTGTCTGTAGAGTGTCTACTGTGCTAGGCTATAGTAGGTTATGGGGATGAACAACTGGTTCTGGACTCCCAAGTCCAGTGCTCTTCCTACTGAGCTGTGTACCCCAAGCCAAGCCTCCTTCTTTGTTTCTAATAGACGTCACGACAGCTCCACCTTATTGTGGCCCTGTTACAGAGGTTTTAGGGAAACAGGCCGAGCTGATGTATGAGGGCTCAGGAGGTCGGGCTTGTGTCACCAATGGCCTTCTGGTTTGTTGTTTGGTTGGTTCTGTTGCTGTTGTTTTCGTGTGTTTTCAGATTTCTTTTTTGAGACAGAGACCCACTAGGTAGCTCAGACTAGCCTGAAATTCAGCAAGCATCCTCCTACCTCAGCATCCCAAGTGTAGAGAGACTCGTTAATCTCTGATCAGCGCTGCCCTTTCCAGCTGCCAGAGCTGACCCCCACCCACACTTGCTGTTTCTCTCCTCTCCCTCCAGCCGCGACAACTCCCCGAGCCTGAAAGAGATCCGGAACGGCTGCCAGCAGCCATGCGATCGGAAGCCCACCTTACCTCTGCGCCTGCTGCACCCCAGCCCGGACCTGGTGTCTCAGGAAGCCACGTTGTCTGAGCCACGGCTCAAGTCGGTGGTCGTGGCCTCCAGCGAGGTCCACGTGGAGGTGGAGCGCACCAGCACTGCCAAGCCGGCGCTGACAGCCAGCACGGGCAATGACAGCGAGCCCAACCTTATTGACTGTCTCATGGTCAGCCCAGCATGTGGTACCATGAGCATCGAGCTGGGCCCCCAGGCCGGCCGCACGCTCGGCTGCCACGTGGAGATCCTCAAACTCTTGTGAGTACCCTGGAACCCACCATGGGGGGGGGGGGGGGGGGACCAGGGTTTGGGAGGCTGGTCCTGCTGCCAGCCTGAATCCTATAGGGGTGGGTGTGTGCGCATGTGTGTGCTCGAGTTAAATGCAAACCGTGCAGAGGCAAGTGTGTCCCCGTACTAGGGAAGCTAAGGCAGGAGGATGGCTGCAAGCTCAAGGGCAGCCTAGGTACCAGCTACTGAATGAGACCCTGTCTCAAAAACAAACCGAAAAGCAAGTGTGTCTGTGAGTGGGAGGTTGGGGTTCTCCAGCACCCTGCAACATCACCAGCCATTCAGCCCTTGTCCTCAGTAACGGCACACGGAAACCTGAGTCGGGGTTCAGAGGGTAGAGATGTTTTCAGCCACCTGACTCATAAGCCAGAACAGGGGTTAGGGCATGTTGGGGTCTTCTGTGTTCCCAGGTAAGTACCATGGTGTCTTAAAGTTGAATATGTATACATGTTATACATGGTTACATATGGAACTGGGTACATGTCCCCCAGGTGTCACTTACTGATCTGTGTCCCTCCTGTAGTAGAGGGAGATTATGAAGGCAACAATCATCTATCATTGCTTCCTGTCACCCTTGAGAGGACTAGAGGCCCTGCTAAAAATTAGTGCCAGACTCTGTCCCTCAGCTGAGGCCAGGGGAGGGTATAACTCAATCTACGGATCTTACAGCCAGAGGAATAAAATTCCAGAATCCATTCCGGGCATCTGAGAACTGAGCTTGGATCTGGGTTTCCGTAAGGCAGGGAGGAGGCTCGTTTCTTTCCTGGCCAAACCCACAGCGCTCCGAGCCCCCTAGGCTCTTGGCTATGGACTCCTGTGAGCTACATTTCCTGGTAGCAGCCTTCCAGGCCAGAGCTGCCTGTCTTGGGCTGTTTCCCATGAACCCCAGGCCTTTTGCCATCTGAGTTCTCTGCAGACCTGAGAGACATCACACCACTGACAGAAGTTCACTCCCTTACAAACATTCATGACTGGGTGCTCTATTCCTTCTTGTTTGGCCAGACCTCCTGCTTGCTGTAGCTCCCAGGGTCAGGGCATGTCCGGGTTAAGAGTAGTCTGATGAACCAGGAAGGGTCCCTCCAAGCTGGCTATTAGGTCTCTCGGCCCTCAGACTTGCTGGATGTCAACAACCACCCACAGTTCAGAGGGCTCCAGTGTGCTTTGCATCAGGAAAGCAGGTTTAGGGTGGTGGATCTGAGTGCATGTCCCTCAGGTGCCACTAACTATAATCTGTGACATGAACCGGTCATGTGGCCTCTCTTGAGTTCAATCCTGTTGCCCCAGTCCAGAGCAGACACTGCCACACACAGATGGACACCCAGTGTGTGAGAGTCACCAGTCATAGCATAGTGTTTCCTGTCCTAAGATAGAGTCAGGGGTAAGGCACATTGCTAACCTCTTGACAACTTAGGAAAAGAACACTGTGGCATTCAACAGGCACAAGGGTGCCGAGAAGCCAGTATCTAACAGACACGACTTTATCTGTTGAGTAACACGAGACTGTCCCATCTCCTTGAGGCCTCAGCTGCCTTGTCTTGCACCATCTAAGAAGGGCTGCTGTGAGATTTCAGTAATGGGACAGTTTTCCCCCTCGTACTGTGGTCTTATTGAGAGTGACGGGAGCTAAATGAGAAGATGGAGCCAGGAGTGGAAGTGCAGGCTTTTAGTCCCAGTCCTCAGGAGGCAGAGGCAGGCTGGTCTGTGAGTTCAAGGCCAGCCTGGTCTTCATAGTGAGTTCTAAGACAGCCAGGTCCATAAACAGTCCTTGTCTCAAAAATGCCAATAAAAGTAAAAAGAAGAGAAGATGGTACACTGTGGAATTGAGACATCACCTCACAGGACGTTGTGAGCGTGAAGAAAGCCACACTCAGAACTCTGGGCGTGCCACTGGCTGCAGGGAGAATGTTCATTCGGCTAGCCAGTCAGTGTGTTATTCTTATCTGTTACAAGTTCCCTGAGACAGGCTTTTACATCGATGCAATGTGACACCTCTAAAAAGTCAACAAAAGCCTGAAGACCCTTGAGAAGGGATGTATTACAAAGACACATCAGGATTGATCTACTTTGAGTTAGCCTGGAGTAGGCCAAGTTGGCCAAGACCAGCTTGGAATCTACAGTAGGGAGAGCCTTGGGTTTTTTTCAGGGTCTTTATCCATTAATCCATCCATCCGTCCATCCATCTGTCCATCCGTCCATCTATCTGTCCGTCCATCTGTTCATCTATCCATCTTCCATCCACCATTCATGTCTATCCACCATCCATCCATCCTTCCATCTGTCCATCATCTGTCCATCAATCCATCTGTCCATCCGTCCATGCATGCACAATCCCCTTTTTATTATTAGATTCTTATTCTGTGTGGATTGGTGTTGTGCCTGCATGTATGTCTGTATGAGGGTCCTGGAACAGGAGTTACAGACAGTAAGTAGCGAACTGCCATGTGGGTGCTAGAATTGAACCTGGGTCCTCTGGAAGAGCAGGCAGCGTTCTTAACCACTGAGCCATCTCTCCAGCCCTATCCACATATTCTTGAAGCATTTGCTGACATCTATGCTAAGCCAGGGTCTGTGCTTGAAGCCGAAGGACACAAGCTGTTTTTCTCACCCTGTCTCTCACAGTATGAGGTGTACCGGTACCCAACACAGAGAGATCAAGAGCAGGGTGTGGTAAGGTATAGTGTAGGAAACCATGACAGTGGGGACACTTCCATCCATCCAGGAAAAAAGAACAGCTGAGGTGAAGGAAGGAGGGACGATGCCCCTGCTTCTGAGGTCCCCAGGAACTGCACATCCAACCCTTCTCAACCGCGTTCTGAGTTGAGTGTCTAAATCTCTTTTGAGTTCTCTAGTAGCTTTTCTACACAGAAAGGACCGTACTGTTTTATGTGTGTGTGTGTGGTATGCGAGTGTCATGCATACATGTAAAGGCGAGAGGAAGATAGTGGGCATTCTGCTCTGTCCCTCTTTGCCTTCTTCCTGAGACAGGGTCTCGCTAAATCTCGAGCAAGCCTCCATGATCCCACCCACCACAGCACTAAGGTTACAGACATACACTTTTTACATGGGTGCCGGGTTCTCGAACTCAGGACTGCATGCTTATTCAGCAAAAGCCTTAGCCGCTAAACCATCTCCCCAAGACCCAAGCATAGCCTTCTTCTGCAGTATGAGCTTGGTCACCTTTGGTGAGGCACTGGGTTGTCTAGCGGGCAGAACGTACAGGAGCCGGGATCCTGGGTTCAAGACTGAGCTCTGACCTGAGATTCAGGCTGAGATGCCGACATTTCAACCGTTTGTGTTTAAAACTTGGCGACAGTGACACCCACTGACCACGAGGTTCCTTGGAAGACCGCACGTGGACGCTGCATAGGAAGTCACGTTTCAGTGTGCTGGAGACCATGAGTCAGTTAAGGGTGGAGGTGATCTCGTTGTGGGAAGGCAAGCTAGCTGTAAAAACGGACTACCCCACCCCAACCCCCGGGAAGGAATCAAGGGAACAGGCACATTCTAACATGCATCCCTGCATCCTCTGAACTCAGAGGCCCTCGGTTGGCACAGTGCAGCAGGCTAGTGCCCTATCATGGCCTCCTCACCTCCGGTTACCTGTACCCAGATATCCGGTCCCTCCCTCTTCATGTGGGTGTTCCGGAGATGACGTGAACAAATTTGAGCCCAGTACGGGGCACAGTGCGTGTCTAGATGTCAGCCATAACACTGCTCAGACTTATCTGGCAGTGCCAGACTCTTCTGGTCATTCTTTTTCATGTTGTTGTCCAGTCTCTGGGCCTTTTCCTCAGAACCTTTCCAGGGTGTGATCTGTGTCCTGAAGTCTTTATCATGGGTTCATTTGGAGGGCGGTATGTCGGCAGTAGTCCAGAGCCAAGGATTATCTAAGCCATACTTTGTTAGAAGCAAGCGTTTGTTTTGTGCGGGTTGAAAAAACAGCAGACTTTAATTTCTGTGGGAAGCCCAGGTAGATGGGCAGGACACCCAAGCAAACAGGAGGTCAGCGGTGTTAAGATCAGGAAAGGTTGGGTTGGTGTGATTCGGTAGTGAGCTTACCCAACGTTCACAGAGTCCCAGTGCCCGCTCTTATCACTGCATAAACCGAGCATGATGGAGCACACCTGTCATCTCGACACTTGACAAGCAGAGGCGGGAGGACCAGGAGTTCAAGGCCATCCTCAGCTACTTAACAACTTTGGGGCTAGCCTGGGCTACATGAGATCCCTATCTCAAAATCAAAAACAAACAGAATGAATGGGACTGGAAGAACAAAGAAGGAAAAATAATGTGGGACCCTCATGAGTGCAGATAACAGCAGGAAGCCTCAATTCTGAATGTAAAAGAGGACCAGTAATACGGCTTAGAACTCAGGGCCAGCCATTCACCCAGCAGCTGAACCCATGAACCTTGTGGTATGAGAACAGGCTACCCGAGGTGTTGGGGACTTGGGTATAAATACAGTGTAAGTGCTGGGGGGTTGGGAATGTAGATCATGGCTTCAGGAGTACCTGAGTCACACTTCAGTTACCAGCGGAGATTTGTAGAAGGTCGCAAAGCATCTCCGAGCCTCAGTTTGCCCACGGTTCTCTGGAAGCTTTCCCCACATGGGTTGGGGAGGGGAGTCCACCCATCATCAGAGTGAGACCTTGTTGAGGTCTCTCTCATGATGTCTCTCCACTCTGCAGTCCGTCTTAGCCAGCCGCAGAGCAGCCTCTTCCCAGGGCCTGAAGCCTGCTTACATTATGCTCAGCCACATTTGCACTGTGGGGCAGCAGAGCCTGAAGCACGTGTCCTGCCTCACGTCTCGGTCGGTTATTCTCTGAGCAATAGTTTCACTGTGTCTCCAGGGTGCACCTCAGAGAAGGGAAGGCTCCATGAAGCAGAGCATGTCGGGCCCTCCCCTGTGTCTCTGCTTGAGGTACAAGCTCCTTACTTACCACACACACAAATGTCTGATTTTGGTAAGGTCTTGACGGTAGTCAGTCAGTCAGCTCAAGACCCAAGGGTCGGCAGGGTCTCAGTCAGGACTGTGTTAGCTCCAGCACTCTGCTTAACCTCTCTGAGCCTCAAGTTTCCTCTTCCGTTTAAATGGTGCGGGTCCTGTTTTACTTCATTATGTGTTTGCAAGGAGCAAACAGGTGGAGATACAAAGCTCTCGGCATAACGCACGTGTGTAGGAAAAGCTGAGGAAATACGTCACATTCTTTTTCAGTATTATATTGTGACTGCCAGCCAAGCCCAGTGGAAAAAGAGAGGTGGGCATCTAATACCAAGCAAAAGAGTATCTGTGTGTTAGGAGGATGTTCACCTCACATGTTGAAACCCTCGGATTATATCACCCTCCACATGGACACAGCATGGTGGCCCAGGCCTGTAAACTCGGAACCAGGAAGCAAGATCAGAAGTCCAGGGTCATCCTCAGCTATGTATCAAATGGCCAGACTAGGCTGCATGAGACCCTACCTAATTGTGTGTGTGTGTGTGTGTGTGTGTGTGTGTGGTGTGTATGTGTGTGTATGTGTGTGTAATGAGCAGTCACATATCATAGCATACATGTGGAGGCAGGGAACAGGTTGCAGGCTCTCATCTTCCACCATGTACATTCTGGGGCTCGAACTTGGATTGTCAGGCATTTGGGGACATACACTTTTACCCATAAGAGCCACCTCACCAGCCTTCAGACCCTGTCTAAAAAGAAAAAAAATGTTCTGGTGGCTGATGACACACAGTGGTCCAGATTGTGGTTTGTTGCTTGGTTCGTTTGCTTTTTTTCTTGAGTCAGTCTGTAGGCTTCCCCTTGTGTCTGGTCAGTCACAGAGGAGAGGGACAGGTGTGCTTGTACTACTGTGACACCACCACAGGCCATGTGGCTGGGACCACAGTGTCTTCCCAGTTCTGAGGAGACGGGCGCAGGTGTGATGGGTCTAGCGGCCCCTGGGGCCCTTTCTCAGTGCCCTCTCGGGGTCTTTTCTGTGCATAGATTTCTCACGTCATTTGAATTGGTTCAAGGTCCAACCTAATGGTCCTGTGTTACCCTTCCTTAAAGGCTCTCTCTCCAGATGTGTCCTACTCTGAGACCTTAGCCAGAGGTTCAGACATCAACCTGGATTTAAGGATTGGAGACCCAGAGTAGCCCCTCACCCTCAATGAAGCCTCAATGGGAGACAGAGAAAGTCTCAGTTCTGAGCAAGAAGGATATGAAATCCTGGGAAGCTGGATAGTTGTCCCCCAGTTGTTTGGAAGTCTGGAATGTTCTGTGTTAGGCTGTGGCTACTGTCTCTGAAGTAGGCTAAGCAGAGTCCATATTGTGTGCTAACCCCAGACACTTATATCTTATAGGATAGCGAGTGGAAGACCTCTCCCTGCTGACCACCCCTCACTGGTTTCCTCTCTCATTCTAGGTCCGACTATGATGACTGGAGACCGTCTCTGGCCAGCTTGCTTCAACCCATTCCATTCCCCAAAGAGTAAGTTCTACCAGGCCCCTCCCAAATGGAAGGAGAACCACAGGAGAGGGTGATGTCATTTTAAGGGGCTCACAGTGTCTCAGTGGGGAGAGGTGGGGGGTGAGGAGGGTGGTGGGACCCACAGCCAAGACATAGAGATGTAGCCTAGCTCAGGGCATCTCTGAAAACCCAAGAATTTGATAGGCGCAGCCTCAGGCCTCATGGCAGCAACGTAGGGACTCATTAAACTCAGAAGAGGCCCGAGCCATCTCTACCATGCCTATCCTATAGTGACTTTAATGGTTTTTATTACGGAACACGTGGGGACAGTAATACCCCCCCCACTCCCATTCCCTGGGAAACAGTGAAAATTGACAGGTAGTATAGCCACTGTGCTCTGGCAAGGCGGCACATGCCTATATAATTCACAGGTTTTCAACCTTCCTAATGTTGCGACTCTTCAATACAGTTCTTCATGTTGTGGTGACCCCCCCCCAACCATACAGTTATTCTTGTTGCTACTTCATAGTTGTAATTTTGTTACTACTATGAAGCGACTCTAAACATCTGATATGCAACCCCTATGAAAGGGTCTTTCAACCCCCACCCCCCACCCCAGGGGATCACACAGGTTGAGAAGCGCTGCCTATAATTCCAGTTTTGGGCTACCCTGAGCTACATAACAAAGCCCTGTCTGCAGAAGGAAGGAAGGAAGGAGGGAGGAGAGGCTGGTGAGGTGCTCTGGTGGCCAAGCATGCACCTAGCGTGTGCAACATCCTGGAGTCAATCTCCAAGCACCAAGAAGGACCAACAAGCAAAAAGAAGAGAAACTACATATAGAGCCATTTCAGGGCTGTTCAGGACAAGGCTAGCTGTATAAACTGAGCCTTAATGGCCGTTAGCTAACAACACTCTGAATGTAGCCAGAAATGGACCCTCTGTGTCTCTTTCGCCCACCGTCATACTGACAATGAATTCCTCACGGGAAGCATCACTGTGCAGTGGGGTCATCGCTGTGCGGTGGGTCGCAACCTACAGCGAGCTCCAGCTCAGCCCCAGGCCTTGCATGCCTGCAGGTCTGTTTTGACAGATTGGAAGCTGCTGGGCCTTGGGAGGTACTTGGGGCTCTCTGCAGAGCCCATTAGTGAGCCTGTGTTTATGAAGCAGCTCCTCAGAGGGGGACATTACACCCAGTAATTGCCCCATTTGCTGGCCTGGGCTCATTCCCTCAGGGCTCCGGAGAATGGAGACCGGAGAAATCTGACTCCTCAGAGCCTTCTCTGTCTGTGGCATCATTGGCTACAGCAGCTGTCCCCACAGGCCCTGGGACCCGCTTGACAGTGGCCCATGATGCAATTCACTTGGAAGAATGGTCCCTGATTGCCTGGCAGAGTACGCTGGTAATTAGTGCAGCCTCGCCTTAATTGTGGAACAATTAACAAACACACCTGGGTCCCTGGAGCCCCGTGTGTGCCTGAAGGCGTTCATGCACTTCTGCAGTTGACAGGTGTGGGCCTAGTGTTGACTTTGGGGACGCTAGTGGCTCAGCCTGTTCATCCCCACCTTGTCAAAGGAGGGCCGCATTGGGTACCCACGTTTCTTTGTCAGTTTTCTCTACATTCTTCGAATCAGAGCTAAAATCTAGTAGTCCCCGGAGGAAGTGGGCATCCGAGGCCTCTAACTGCCTGTCTCTTTGTTTTCGGTACAGAGCTCTTGCACACGAGAAGTTTACAAAGTGAGTATGCCAGGGGCACCCACCCCACCTTCTCCCGCTGCGAGTGTCCCCTGAACCCGGTCACCTCCACATCCCTGCCACCACCAGCCTCCTTCCCCCACCCCATTCTCTGGTCCACATGTATTTTTGGAGGCTGCAGAGACATCTCCTGAGCTGTCCCCTGTGACACACACTCAAGCCCTGCTATGTGCCCCGCCTTGTCTACCCCCACCTGCGTCTGGCCTCTCTTCCATCCCTCCCCAACTCCTCCCTGTCCACTCAGGCCTGCAATTGACCCACCCTCCTCTTCCTTCCAGGGAACTGAAGTACGTGATTCAGAGGTTTGCAGAAGATCCAAGACAGGAAGTAAGCCTTTTTCTTTTTTACTTTTTTTTTTTTCCCCACTCGTTTATTGGGGATGGGACCTAAGCAAACACTGAGCCGTCCCTCAGCCCAGTGAGATTTTTTTCTACAGTAGGAAAAAAAAAAGTTTGGGGCCACCTAGGTCTCCTAGCAGAGGCTACTGAGTCACCAGATCCTTAGTACAGACGACACAGGCTCCAGGCCCTGTGTGCAGGCACAGCCTCTTTTCCCTGTGTGGAGTCACCCAGATGTGGTCTCGGACTGTCATTTGGCAGACAGTGTCTCTATGCCACTTGGCTTGAGAGTGGATCCTCCGTGGAATGCCCAGCCAGCTTCCAGTCAGCTTTGTGGTCCTGCGTTTGTGCTGCTAGTGTGGAGGTCCCTGGGCCAAGGAAGGAATCATCGCTAAACTCTGAGCTCTCACAAAAGCTCTGAGCTTCAGGAAACCAAGGGCAGATTAAACTTTTGCCCCCGCCTCAGACACACGAATCAACCCTTATAGCCCCAAGGGGAAGCCATTCGTATCCCTTCAGGACTTCAGAATCACCCCGAAAGCCAGGCAGTGGTGATGCACACCCTTAGTCCCATTGTTTGGAAGGGAGAGCAGGCCTCTGAGTTCAAGGACTGTCTGGTCTACAGAGCTAATTCCGGGATAGCCAGAAGAAACAGAGAAACTCTGTCTCAAAAAAAAATAAAAATAAAAAAGAATCACTGATATCCCCCCACCCCGCCCTCTCAGACTTGGGAAAATGGAACTTTCTTAAGTCATTAACTTCTCATACCAAATAACCAGATGTGGTAAGGGCACACTGGCGCTGCCCAGAAGCATACATTCATGACGTGTGACCCAGTCTCTCAGGTCCCAAGTCTAGGTGCTGTAGGGAAACCGTCTCCAGACCTCCTTGCTTGCCTACAAGTCAGGCCCCCCACTAACCCTCATGATTCAAGATCCCTGGATCCGGTCGGACCCAGACCATGTGTTGTAAGCATCCTTCCTGCTTCTTATACAATCTCCAGGCCGCAGTGGGAAACCTCGGTCTGGAAAGTTCTAGCTCCATCACAGGTTTTACAAGCCATCTTCAGAGGCAGGGGGATGGGGAGGGGGGCAGAAAGGCTAATGAGGAAATGTCACCAGCTATGGTCTCAGTTGTCCTTAAGCCTGAAGCTGTGTGCGTGTGTGGGATCACAGTGGGTAGGTGTGGGCGTGTAAATGCGTGTGTATATATGTGTGCATGTATGGGATCACAGTGGGTAGGTGTGTGTGTGTGTGTGTGTACATGTGTGGGGTCACAGTGGGTAGGTGTGTGTGGGTGGACGTGGAATCCTGTACCCATACGCTTGTTCCTACACACAGCTCTGGGGAGGAGAGACAGAAGGCTCATTTTGGGGTCCCTGACAGTGTTCCTACCCTAGACAGAGACCAATCAATAGAGAGGGACACATGGACAGGCAGGTGAGGATGAGAGCTCAAGCAGGGTTGGAGAAAGCTTGAGATTAACAGGCCAGGCCTAGAGAGTGGGATGACTGCCCACACTGAAAAGGCAGAGAATAGGCCAGAAGAAGGCAGGTATCCCAGGCCTAAGGGTTACTGATCAGCCCCAGACAGGAAGCAGCAGAGAGCCAGGGAGAGGACTTGGGCAGAGAGAGGTGCAGAGACCCAAACAGAAAAGAGAGAGGACACTGGTGTGGTAGCTCACGCTTTTAATCCCATCACTTGGTAGGCAGAAGGTAGATCTCTTGAGTTTGTGTCAAGCCTGGTCTACATGTCAAGTTCCAGGACAGCCGGGGCTACACAGAGAAACCCTGTCTTGAAAAACATCAAAAAGAAAAAGAAAAGAGACAGGAAGTGACCCACCTGGGGAAAACATAGAAAGCAGATATGGAGACAGTCCCTGTTTGAGGCTGCTCTGCCCCGCAAGGCCATACTCTGTCTTCCTCAGAGTGCTTCCCCGCTAGGCCTCAGGACTGTCCTAGAGATCTAAAGACACGTGGCTGGACTTCAAAGTGTGGAGGGCAATGCTTATGAAGCTAAAGGAAGTTCATGCATTTCCTGACGGCTTGGCTTGAACACCATTCACACTACCTCAGTACCTGAGACTGTTCAGAACTGACGATGTGTCTTGTCTTCTCCTCACAGGTCCACTCGTGTCTGCTGAGCGTTCGGGCAGGCAAGGATGGCTGGTTCCAGCTCTACAGCCCTGGAGGGGTGGCCTGTGATGATGACGGGGAGCTGTTTGCCAGCATGGTACGTGGGGTCCCCACAGGAAGTTGCTGGTGGACGTTGAGTTGTTCTAGCCTGAATTACACAGCCTGTGTAACTGTGGCCTGCCTGCAAGTCTCCTGGCCAGCACAGTGCCAGCCATGAAGAGGAAGGTGACCAGAGGGAGAGTGTCTTAGTTAGGGTTCTACTGCTGTGAACAGACACCACAACCAAGGCAACTCTTGTAAGGACAGCATTTAATTGAGGCTGGCTTACAGGTTCAGAGGTTTTGTCCATTAGCATCAAGACGGGTGCGTGGCAGCATCCAAACAGGCATGGTGCAGGAGGAGCTGAGAGTTCTACATCTTCATCTGAAGGCTGCTAGCAAAATGCTGACTTCCAAGTATCTAGGACGAGGGCCTTAAAGCCCACACCCACAGTGACACACCTACTCCAAGAACACACCTCTAAATATTGGCCACTCCCTAGACCAAACATATTCAAACCACCACAGAAAGTTTCACTAATTCCTGCTTACTGGGCCAAGAGCCTGTCACCTGCTCTGGGACATACAGAGAGAGGAAGTGACCTACCCAGAAGGAAATATAGAAAGCAGATACAGAGATGGGGCTTATTTGGGAGTGCTCTGCCATGCAAGGCCACAGCCTTGTCTCTGTGTGTACGTGTGTGTGTGGAAAAAAAACGTTGATCAGACTTGGTTGTTATGGTGACGTTCTATGCAAGGGACGGGTACATCATGGCACAAGGTACTCTAGAGCCACCTGCTTGGCCAGTCCTTACAATGAGGGGCTTAGGACCCCAGACTCAGGGTGCTTATCCCCGCCTCAGATCAAAATACTGAGGTCACTAAAACATCTTCAGTGGCTTCTGGTACTTTCTTACCATAGAGCAGTGGTCCTCAACCTTCCTAACGCTGTGACCCTTTAACACAGTTCCTCATGTTGTGGTGACTCCCAGCCATAAAATTACTTCATTGCTACTTCATAACTGTAATTTTGCTGCCGTTATGAATCATAATGTAAGTATCTGTTGTGCAGGATATCTGATATGTGACCCCTGTGAAGGGGTTGTTTGACACACACACATACACACACCCAAGGGGTTGTAACCCACAGGTTGAGAACCACACTGATCCAGAGCTTTCTGTCAGCCAAGCCCTGTGCTCAGCGCTTTTGAATCCGTGTACCAAGCCTGCCACGGAATCACACCTGGGCCTCGAGAGGCCCAGAGAAGTCTCGTGGCTTGCTTGAAAAGACTTCTTTACAAGCTCTTTGTAGACCAGATTACTGTCTAGAGGTAGTGGCTTCTTCTGTGGCAGAGGGACACAGATTCCACTTTGCCCAGAAGATCTGCCCAAGCAGCCAGGGACCTCAGGCGCCTGTGTTCCCTGACACACCCAACTCCATTCACAGATCACACATTCTTCTGAGGTCATGTGATGTGGAGAAAATGCAGGCATCCGTTAGACCTGGGCCTGGGGTCACTGCTAAGTCTTCCATTAGTCTGTCTAGGCTCCAGCTTCCTCATAGGTGAACCAAGACAAAGAGAGGCTTTGCCAGGGCACCGTAGGTAGCAGTTGTATGCAGTGTCAGGCATGAGATACTCACTGAGCCACCCAGGGACTCCTTGACCTCAACTTGGCTCAGCTAATCTCTTTCTCTCTCCTAGGGACTAGTTGGTAGGTTAAACAGCTACCACAGTGAATTTGGCAAAGATCTATGCAATGACGATAGATAGGCGTGTTCTCTCAGACACCACCTCAAGGGCCTTATTTTTAGCTCCTTTTCCTTACGCATCTGCTCCAAGCCCCTCGCCTGCTCCCCTGGACCTGCTTTCTGAATGTCCTGTGTACCTAGAAACACGCTCAGCCGCCACCTATTTGAGCCACGTCTCGCTTACCATTGCCTCTCTAACTTCCTCTGATGTCACAGATTCGCCGTGGCAATGCATGGCGTTTCCCCCACCCCCATCGTGCGGTGATTCAGTGTGAGAGAGGGCTCAGGGAGCGACTCCCGTCAGAGTGATTCTGTTTGTATGCCAGAGTTGTTAATGATGGGGCAGAAGAATACGTAGATAGGGAAGGAAGCAGGCAGCCGCGGGGATGCAAGTGTGTTGTTTCCATGGAGACACATGGCGAAAAGTGGTCCTCGAATTAGGCTGTCTCTTCCAGAGGATGTTTGAGCTCCCCTGCCTCTGTTGACAGGTTGGGGAGCCCTGCTCATATACCGTCACCTTTAAGTACAAGACAGACAGACAGACACAGACACACACACACATACACATACACCTCCCAGCATATCTCAGGAGGGAGCAGGATTTGCTCGGTGACTGATCTCTTCAAGCAGCTTTTGATTTGGTATCCCAGAGAAAGCAGAGCCCAGAACACGCCAACTGCCATGCGACTTGGGTCCGTTGTCCCCCACCTAGCAAGGACTGCCTAGAAATTTCCGCCCAGTACCCTCTGTGCTAGGAATTTACAGGACCTAATACCAATAGCCCCTGAAGGGAGCTGGGGAAAAGGGGACTCTTTTTTTTTTTTTTTCCTGTAGTAAAATAGTGAGACCGTGAGTGTTAACGCCTTGTCTGGGAGCATCCCAGCATGCTGGTATAACAGATCTTCGGCCATCAGCACCACCCGTCTCTGAAACACTGTGTCCTCTTCTGCCTTACCTCTGACCCTTTATTGCTAATCCATGATTCCCCTGGACAACTTCAGCAGCCACTGCCTTGCCTGCCTGGGTGACTGTGCCTGTTGCCTGCACCCCATCCCAGTATAGTCTCATGTATGCCCTGTGTCACTCAACATGACATCCTCGGTCACTTTCCACAGGGAACGGTCTGGCCGGCACTGGAGACAAGGCAGTTGGCACAAGCAGGGAGGGTCACCGTTTTCCTGGTTTTCCACCTGTTCCTGCAACACTGAGGGGACGGGGCTGGTGCTGGGGATCTTATATGACACCACAGTGGTGTCATGGTTGCTTCACCGGAGTCTTTTTCCCTCCCAGGTGCACATCCTCATGGGCTCCTGTTACAAGACCAAAAAGTTTCTGCTCTCATTGGCAGAAAACAAGCTGGGCCCCTGCATGCTCCTGGCCCTGAGAGGGAACCAGACCATGGCAGAGGTAAGCCCTGGTCCCCATTTACCAATGCATAGGACCTGTGTGAGGGGCAGGCAGTGTGGGCAAGGTGTGGTGTGGTTGTAGCCCCCTGGGTGTGCAGCTGTTCTTCTCAGGCTGCTGCTGGTTCATTCCAGTTGGGATCTAGCAAGTTGATCATAATCATCTAGAAGTTTCTGTTCTGATTACCTTGTATTGTATAGCAACCGTCTGCACGCGGAGCACATAACAGACCAAGGGGGAGCCAGGTTTTCCTGGGCTGTTTTTCCTTGGGTCTCCTAGAGTTCTCATGGGGGTTGGAGCCCATGGGGTCTTTCACAAGGCTTCCTTCTCTGACTGGAGGGCTGAGGCAGCCCAGCCTCTCTCTGCTTTGTGTGGTTTGGGGGGTCACTACTCAAGTTTTCAAGAGCACAAGCCCAGGAGCCTCAGGTCACTTCTAACTGTTCCTCCTCTGTCCCCTAACTGTTCCACAGAGTCCCCACAATGCCACACACTCCCAGAGCTCTTGTCCCCTGAGCTATAACAGCTGTCAGAATTGGGCAGCACCACCCTTGCCACACTCTACTCTCTAAAAGCAGTCACCAAGCTAACCATCAGTCAGTCATGGCATGCGAACAGGTCTCCCCACCTTACGAGAAGGAACAGGCCCATTGGGAAAACCTTAAGTTTCCCTGGAAGTAGGATTGAAACATTAGCATGGGACTAAAGCAGAGAACGCCAGACTTTGAAAACAGCATATGCCAAGGTCCGGTGGCAGGCCGTGACACACCCTCAATGACTCCCGGCAGATCCTGTGTTTGATGCTGGAATACAATATCATCGACAACAACGACACCCAACTGCAGATCATCTCCACCCTGGAGAGCACAGATGTGGGCAAGCGCATGTATGAACAGCTGTGTGACCGGCAGCGGGAGCTGAAGGAGCTGGTAAGTTCTCCACTGCCCGCCGTTCTCAGAGCGTGAGACAGCCCCTTGTGACCGCCGCCCCACACCCAGAGAGTTGGGGACGGTTCCCTGTACTTCTCCCGTGACTCTAGATGGACACAGAGAGATAAAGCGGGCGGACTGAAGTCACACAGCCCACTTCCACTTCGGTGCAGGGGCCCATGTGTCATTGTCGTCCCTGGTCCTAGTTGAGAGGGTGTCTCTGTATATGTGTGCACTCTACAGCAGTGGTGCACTCTACAGCAGTGTAGTTCTTTACCCTTGAACCACCCTTCCTTCCCCACTCTGGCTCAGGGCCTAAGGTGTGCACAGCCCAGGTGTAACCAGCCTCACCACGAGACATACGTATACAACTTGTCTATCGCCTGCCAGGACTCTGGGTGGAAGTGGGTGCCACTTTTCCCCGAGATCCCATCCGGGTGACATCACCTCCCATCAGAACATCTACACTTGCACCTCCGCCAGTGTTTCTCAGTGTCACATATACCATAAGCTGCCTGTGCTGTGGCCGCCGTGGCTTCATGAAGCCGGTGACAGTGGACGTGTGTCCCAACTGGTCTCGTCTCATTTTTTTTTTTTTTACAGCAAAGGAAAGGCGGACCCACCCGGCTAACACTGCCCTCCAAGTCCACGGTAAGTAGGTTTTAGTCTCTTGTGGGGTGGGGTGAGGTAGGGCGAGATGCACAGAGCAGGAAGGTGAGAGCTGTCCGGCCGCTGGGATGAGGGATGATTGAGAACGGGGAGCACAGGTGTCTACCGTGGGACAGGGAGACAGGCCAGCTCTTCCAGGAGGTAAATGGACTGAAGGGACAGAAATGGAAAAGCAAGCAGACTCAAGACATCACACTAAAGCTTTCTGTTGATACAGAGGCTGGGGTTGCGGCTCCCAGGTAGCGCACCCGTTCAGCCTTTGTGAGACTCTAGCTCCAGCTCCTGAGAACAACAAAAGATTGCTGGTGACATCAGCAGGATTGCTTAGGGGTTGCTGGTAACCATGGTAATAATAGCAAAAAACGGGCACTGGACTGCGTTTGATCATTTCCCCACTTCCTGACGTCTTTGGGGATCTGATTTCCTGCTACCCCCTATCCTCAAGGCATGACTCTGTCCTCATGGACCAGGAAGTCTGCTCAGGCTCCAGCCACTGTGTCTCCATCCCAGCCAGCAGGAAAGGAGGAAGCGGCAGGGAGCAGCCCGCCCTTCCCTTGGAGAGCCTTCCTAGAAGTTCTGTTTTTCTGTCTGGCCATATTTAGCTGCAAAGAATGCTGGGAAATGAGCTGTAACTGAGGGGACAGCTAAAAGTCAAAGACAAGAACCTCACAGTCCAAGGCGTTCGGCATGTGTCCTGCCGGCTTGGAGCTGAGGGTGGTGGCCGGCAATTCACATGGAAAACTGCTTGACGAGAGGGTGTGCTCACACACACCGACACACACACACACCACGCATGTGCATGTGCACGCTCTGCTTGGGAGGGTGCTGGCCTTGGTTATAACCCAGCTGTGACTCAAAAGTTATGAGTCATATCACAGGCTGAGCCACCACCCCACAGCTTCTGGGGACACGAAGCCCTCAGGGTGGTCAGAGACAGTGTTGACTGCAGGCGAGGCAGAGTTGGATAAGGCCCACTCGATAACTACCCCCGGCCTGCCCTGAGCATCATGCCCACCCACTGCAGGATGCGGACCTGGCCCGCCTGCTGAGCTCTGGCTCCTTTGGAAACCTGGAGAACCTCAGCTTGGCCTTCACCAACGTCACCAGTGCCTGCGCCGAGCACCTCATCAAACTGCCTTCCCTCAAGCAGCTCAATCTGTGGTCCACGCAGGTGCTCACCCCACCCTGCCCTCTTCCTCCCCCCTGTACTTGACGTTTCCACCCAGAGCCCACTTGCTCTACACACATAGCCCTAACCCACTCCCCCAGACAAGAGGAGGTTGGTGGCCTTGTGCCCATTTCCTAGTTGGGAACACTGAGGCCCAGGGCAGTTCCTGCACAGACTCCTGAGTTGGGAGACACAGGGCTGAGAGTTCACCTCTGTTCACCTCTCCAGCTTGTCACTGAGAGGTTTACACACGAGTGTTCTCTTAGAGCCTGCTGGGTTCCAGCTTAGTACACTGGCCTAGCTCTCTGGAATATACAAGTTCCTCTATCCCTGGAAAAGACCCCTCAAGCACTGCCTTCAGGCTTAGGCGCCTTAGGCCAGATACTCACAGAGTGGCCCTTGCCTGGCCTATGTCCCTATGTCCTTGTCAGAAACTAGACCTGAAACTCTTTGAAAAGAAGGTCATGACCTCATAGCCAGATCCCACCCCACCCCCCACTCCTGCCCCCCAGTCTTAGGTCCCCTTCTCTAGGCCTGGAGAAGCTAAGAATCCATGTGCCCCCACAGTTTGGAGATGCCGGCCTGCGGCTCCTGTCGGAACACCTCACTATGCTCCAGGTGCTGAACCTGTGTGAGACCCCAGTCACCGACGCGGGCTTGCTGGCCCTCAGCTGTGAGTACCGGGTCTTGCATTAGGTGGGCTGACCCCAAGCCAGGCACCTTGGGAAGGGAGAAGTTCATTAAGGACCATTTTGTAGCAGACCTGTTGCATGCTGGCACAGGCCAGGCGCTGAGAGCTAGCGGAAGAGTGTCCCCACCCTTAGGGAACTAGAAGTCTAGAGGAAAGGGGGAAGTCTGTGAGATGATCCCCAGATGCTCCAGGACCTGTCTTGAGAAGCATTTAGTAACGGGCCTGGGGAGGGGCTGGGATGCTGATTTCACAGAGCTGATCAAGGGGGTATTGATCATGCTCCAGTTTCCCTGTTTTCTAACCTGAGAGCTTAGGCTGGAGGCCTCGGGCTCTCAAATAGCCAAACAGGTTTTTGGGAGGTGACAGAGAGAGTGTGACAGTCTGCCACAAAAGTGACACTGACATTGCAAGTCTGTGGACTGGTCCTACACAGTGGGAGCTCTGAGATGGGGAAAATGAACAATACTGAACCAACTTTCTGGGAGGCATCCGGAAGGTGGGGGCCCTTCGAGTGGACACTGCAGAATCCCCACTTGTCTGGTCCCCTCGGGGTCTCAGCAGAAGGATTTGGATGTGTCTGCAGCAAGCATTTGTGCGGCTCCATAGTGAACCCCACCTTGAGGTTTGCTCTGGAGACCAAAAGTCAGAGATGTGAGCCAGCAGTACCAGAAGCATCCAAGATCCCCACGGGAGGGGGAAGGGCAGGACCAGACCTGAAAGGGAGAGAAGGTCAGAGGTCAGGGACCAAGAAAAGACCCCAGAGCGTGAAGTGGGCTTCCTGTTGGTCGTGATGGCTGAACTCACACCATGGAAGCTCCCTCACACATCCACACTGAGAGTTGGCTTAAGTATCCCCCTCCTGCCCTGGTCTTTCGTGTGGGCTCACTGTCTGTCTGTTTGTCTATGCTTACCCAGCCATGAAGAGTCTTTGCAGTTTAAATATGAACAGCACCAAGCTCTCGGCTGACACCTATGAGGATCTGAAGGTAAGCCCTCCCTGCTGGTTCCTTCCCTCCCTCCCTAGTCTGGCCACCCCCTCCCTCCCTGGCCAACCTTAGAAATACTTCTCCAGCACAATGGCTGGCATACCAAGAGCAGACAGGGAGGGGGGAGGGGGAGGGGAGGGTGACAAAAGCAGCCAGGGTTGACAGCATAGAAGTGGGAATCTATATGGTATGGGGAAACCAAAGACCACTCGTTCCAAAAAGAGGCCTCATGATGTTGAATCCAAAGGATAAGAAGTCTGGGATGTCCAGAGTAGGGGGGTTGGAATATGCAAAGGTTCTGAAGCAGAGAACTCAGGTAGGCCCTGGCCATAGCAAGCCTAGCTAGAAAGTGAGGGGGCGGGGGGTTCTGATGGAAGTCCCCATGGATCACAGAAGGACTAGATTTTATCCAGTTTCAGAATCCCTGGGGACTCTTGGAGGAGTACCAAGTCATAGTTTTAAAACCTTAGCTGTTGTCTGGAAGATGAACTGTGGGAGTGGGGCCTAGGGTAGAAGCAAGCCATGTGTTCACTGGGCTGGGGCAGGCTCTCCAAGGCCTGGCATGGCGACTGGGCAGGGAGAGGGGAGTGTGAGTGTGGCAGGCGGCATGTTTCATCCATCAGAGCACACATGCTTCTTAGGGAGGTGGAGGCAGGGCCTTCGGCACTTCCTGCTTTGGGTCCCAGAAATGCCGTATCATCCTGGAAGCAGATGTCAGAGGATCCCCATAAGCTGTTGGTCAGGGTCCTTCACCGGGGTCTCCCGGTGGCCCTGCAGCTACTACCAACTGCTGTCTTTGGTCTTCTCATAGCTGGGCTTGCTCTCTGGTCCAAGCATAGCACCTGCCAGTGGACAGACTCACGCCACTTCTGATGTCTCTGAGGCCACCTGCCCTGTGCTCTGATGGTTCACTATGCAGTCCAGCCCAAGTTTTCTGTACCAAACAGCATCTGCCATGATTTGTGACCAGAGAGGTCCCTGAATCCCGGAAGGCACAGAATTTAGGGGGCAACAGTAGGAGGGGTAAATGGCCCACACCTGTAGAGCTAGGCCCACTTTAGTTGCCTCTACAGACCAGTGCTCACATCATTGGGTCAGGCTTGGAAGAAGTGTGGCCCCAGGACCCACACCTAGCTACATTTGACAAACACAGGGGTGGGGATGGGGGTGGGGGGACGGCGGGGCCAGCTGAGCATGCTGCAGTTTGAGAAGCATAGCCGTCAGGGTGCCCTGCACTCAAGTCCCCAAAAGCCACAGAGCCCCTGAAATCAAATGAGAGACTGCTTATGAGGAAAATCCACTCTCCTTTTATGTTTCTTGAGAGAGACAGAGAGAGAGAGAGAGAGAGAGAGAAACAGACAGACAGACAGACAGACAGACAGGCGTGTGTGGCGGTACACTCAGAGGGCATCAGAATCTGTGGAGCTAGAGTTATAGGTGGTTGGGAGCCATCTGACACAGGTGCTGGAAGCAATGGCAGATCTCTCTAATTCCTATCTTTAAAAAAAAAAATTATTGCTTGCTCTCCTCCCACCCATCCCACTGTGTGTGTGTGTGTGTGTGTGTGTGTGTGTGTGTGTGTGTGTGTGT